TCACCCTAGTATCACGGGCCGTATCACAAAGGGGAGGTAATTCATAATTGATCTATTTAACGACACCGTAGTGTCACAGCAATGCATATAATTATGTAATCTGAATGTATATAGACTGATTTACATTCATACTTTTTAGGTTTTTACTCTAATTTCAAATTCGTTATGTTCGGCGAAATAAGCCAGAAGTCTCAGTCGAATGGCAATCTCGAGCGTCTGGTTATTCCAGTCTATTGCGCATGCTCTACAGATAAAATATTGCGTCACCATTTGAAATGACTTGTGGAATATGTCTAGCCTCGTTTTTCTTCTTCCTTGTTACAAATGGCGCTGAAATGCATTATGGTACACGATTCGTGTACCAATGGTAAAATGTTTATTTTGTCTTAAATATTGGATATCAGAAGCCCGTCTTTTCCCGGTAACATCACAACATCAATGTTGATTTAAATTGACAAATAATTCGTGTTTTCAATGCAGAAGATTTTGGATGATATATTGAGTTAGAGACTTACCTACTTTAAATATTGGATATAAGAAGCCCATCAATGTTGATTTAAATTGACCAGTGTTTGCAAAGTCAAAGCCCCAAACATTCATAACTTCGCCCAGAATAAATTGAAATTTTCAAAATATTCCTTTTTATCACACCCATTTATCACACTCCTCCATCATTAATCACACTCATTTATCACACTACTCCATCATTAATCACACTCATTTATCACACTACTCCATCTTTAATCACACTCATTTATCACACTCCTCCATCATTTATCACACTCCTCCATCATTTACTCCTCTATCATTTATCACACTCATTTATAACTCCTTTATCACGCCCTTTAATAACACTCCTTATCACACCTTTTAACAAGACTTCTTTATCGCATTCCTTTATTATCCTCTTTAATTACAATCCTTTATAACGCCCTTTAACAAGACTCCCTTATCGCGCCCTTTAATTACACTCCTTTATCGCTCAGGACGACCAGCTCCGTGGCTATTTCATTTATTGTTTCTCATTTTACCCAACAGGCCAGATAATCAAACAGAAGCTTGGTAAGGATGAATATGGCTTCTCCTACGGATGGACGCGAGCTAGTAAATTTGTACACAAACAACATGGCTACTACCCATCAGAATTAGTTACTTCAACTCCCATATCAGACTACAGAATGCCTTGAATAACTACCCATCAGAATTAGTTACTATAGAATGCCTTGAATAACTACCAATCAGAATTAGTTACTACAGAATGCCTTGAATAACTACCCATCAGAATTAGTTACTACAGAATGCCTTGAATAACCACCATCACTACACATCAGAATTAGTTACTTCAACTCTCATAGCAGACTACAGAATACCTTGAATAAACTACCCATCAGATTTAGTTACATCAGCCCCCATAGCAGATCGGGGAATGCCTTGAATATAAAGAGTGTGTGTCTTGTTTTATTTATTGTTTTATTATGTTGTCTCTGTTTTGTTGTGCTGTTGTCTTCTAGTTTATCAAATTATTATTGTGTATCATATTATTGATTCATTATGGTGTCTCTGTGTTGCTGTGCGGTTGTCTTCTGGTTTATCAAATTATTATTTTTTTTATTATTTTGTCTATGAATTGTTGTGTGATTGTAGTAGTTTATCAAATTATTATTTTGTTATTCTTTTATTATTGTATCTGTGTTTTGCTGTGTGATTGTCGTCTAGTTGCTCAAAATATTATTATGTATCATATTGTATTGGTTTATTTTGTTGTCCCTGTTTATCTTCTAGTTTATCAAATGATTATTATGTGTGGTTGTCTTCTAGTGTATCAAATTATTATCATAATATTGTTTTATTATTTTGTCTATAACAATAATATAATAATGAATTTATATAGCGCCTCTCATCTAGAACTGTTCTACTTGATGCCTCTGAGCTGCACTGTCACGTTTGGTATTCACGGTTAAATAAGTGAGTCTTCAAGCATGAATTAAAGGACTCTGTGATTTGTTGTGTGGTCGTCTAATAGTTTATCCTGTATTACATTAATTGTAGCATACGAGGCGTCCAGAATGAGGATTTAACGTACGACAAGATAATTTTGAAACGCGATAGTTTAGATCATTCTGGCCTATGTTGGTTATTATTAATTGATAGGGGATCAAGTAATGTTGTTTGTTGTAAAGGATTTCACGAGGTATCCAGTGTGGACACTGGCTTTTATGTATTGGAAAGGTTCCAAGTTGTTATTCGTTGGAAGGCATCAAGTATTGTTTTTGTTCTTATTCATTGGGAGGGTATTAACTATGGATACTTGTTGATATTCATCGAGAAGGCTATCAAGTATTGTTATGCATTGGGAAGACATCAAGTATCGTTATTGGGTGTTATTGGAAAGGTGTCAAGTTGTCATTCGTTGGAAGGCATCGAGTATTGTTATTGGTTGTTATTCATTGGGAGGGTATTAACTATAGATATTCGATGATATTCATCGAGGAGGCTATTAAGTATTGTTATTCGTTGTTATCCACTGGAGGGGTGTAAAGTATTGTTATTGGAGAGATGCCAAGTATGTTTACTGGCTATTATTTATTGGGAAGGTGCTAAATTGTTATTCATGGGAAGGCCGTCGAGTATTGTTATTCGTTGTTATGACATCAAGTAATATTGATAGTATCAAGTATTGTTATTCGTTGTTATGGCATCAAGAAATATTGATAGTATCAAGTATTGTTATTCATTGGTTGTGATTGGTTGTTATTCATGGGGAAGGTATGAAATATTATTCGTTGTTATTCATTAATATGTTGTCAAGTATTGTTATTGGTTGCTATTCATCGGAAGAGTATTACGTATTTTTACCCGTTTTCTTTTCTTTATAATGTATTCATCGTTATCCGTAATCACCATCACCATGGTATAACCTTGTTTAAACCACAGTAGTCACCGTCATAATTGTTACCATGGACAATGACATACAGTCGTACAGCCCTGTCCAATCACCACAGTAGCCACCATGGTTACCATGGACAATACCATTACAGTCGTACGGCCCTGTCCAATCACCACAGTAGTCACTATGGTTACCATGGACAATACCATTACATTCGTTCAGCCATGTCCAATCACCACAGTAGTCACCGTCATCAACACCCCTACCATTATTGTACATAATGATTTTATTCAAAAATATCATAAAATTATAATTATTCGATACCATTAAATAGGAAAATGGCGGGTCGTTATGTTTATTCCCTGTCTTTCTCCTAAAAATATAAATTAAAATATTAATACATAACGTGGTACATTTATAGTTATCGTTGTTTTTTTTTTTTTATCATTAATATTTTTTAAAACACATCAATTAAGAAAATATTTAATATTTTTTAAAACAAATTTATGAATATATTAATATTTGTTATTTATAAATATGATTAATATTTTTGTAAACACATTTTAGTTTCCAGTATTGATATAAATTCTATATTTTTGTAAATTGAACTCTATATTTTTTGTAAATTGAATTCTATATTTTTGTAAACTGAATTCTATATTTTTGTAAATTAATTTCTATTGTTTTGTAAATTCAATTCTATATTTTTTGTAAATTCAATTCTATATTTTTGTTAAATTAAATTCTATATTGTTGTAAATTAAATTCTATATTTTTCTTTAATAAATTTAAATTGTTGCACATGTATTTTGAATTTTATATTTTTGTTAAATTAAATTCTATATTTTTGTAAATTCAATTCTCTATTTTTTATTGACATCTTCAAGTATAAATAATTAATTTTTTTTTAACAAAATAGGCCCATTGTCCTGCTATTATTTTCAAATTGGATTAGATATAAATATTTTATTTGCTTATTATCGGCCTTCAAACCGAGATCTGCAAGGGTGTACATGGCAATACTGCTACTATTGAAGGTGGTTCGATGGGTATGGCGCTGGAAATGAAATGAAACGGCGGTTTACCGTCCTACTGTTATGCTCCGACTGGGATAATGAAGACAGGCACATGCCATACAGTGTGCTATGAGTGAAATTTTTCCTGGATAGTGGCACTACGGCTTACTCTTATATCAAATTCCAACTACAAAGGGTTCTTTTACGTGCACCCCAATGTGTACAAAAGACCTCGGTTTTTAATCCCAACCGAACGACTATACTTTGTCCCTTGCCAGGTCCTCCATTCTGCACCACTGACAATTGGGAACTACGCCGGAAATTCCAGATAAACATTCTCGGCCAACGCAGGAATCGAACTCGTCAAACTCCAGTCTGTTTTCCAGTCTGAGCTAGGCACTGGAGGTCCTGGGTTCGAACTCGATTTTGCTCCAAAACATGTACAAGGTTGACTTATGTAAATTTTGAAATGCACATACTGGAAGTAGCATATTAGTAAACGTGTACGGATCCGTGGTACATGTCACTGTAACAATCCACAGAATATGGCAAAATGTAAATTCAAACACTCTCCATCCATTTTAGTACAAAAAGTCAACAAAAATCAGCGTACAGAACAAGAGTGGTGGGGATTAGAGATATTGAGTATAATGGATGGGGGGGGGGGAGATGGGGTTAACGTCCACTCGGCACAAACTAGGTCATATCGGGACTAACACATGGTTCAATTTTATTTCAACAATGAGCTTGCGCGTAGGGGTCTGTAGCAGTGAGAGGAAACCAGAGTACCCCGCCCGAGAAAACTAACGAGGTTGGGCAGACGACCCTACACTTTCTCACGTACAACCGGCGCATCGAAACGACGCCAATTTGACCGAATGACAGACCTTATGTTATGATTCAACTTGCATGCGCTAACCTTTCGGCCATCCAACCCAACTGTCTATTAGTATTACTGGGGTACAAGGATAGCTGTCTAGTTGTTCGGATGGGACCCCCACCCCCACCTTTGAATAAAAGGAATTATATTCGTGTAGTAACTCTTTGTCTCCGTCCTATTAGTCATGATGACTGACTTAACAACATAAAATAATATAATGCACCAAATACTTCCTTTAATATATATAATAAGCTAATACTGTTTGAATATACAAAAAAACACCTGTACAATGACTTATAATAATATACAAATATACCTATATTAAACATATACACGTCATGATTGATAAACAAAGAATCAAGGTTGTCTCCCTTGGCTAAGATCGTCCTCAATCCTATAGCGGGAGTTAAAAAAAAATAATTCACACCAATCACAGACACAAGCAAGCTTAGATGCACCCCTATCCCCCCACCAATGCATTAGATGTCTACCTTGACTAAGACCCTCCTCGAAAATTAATTCACAACAACCATAGACAAAAGTTTAAATCTCTTTTCCCAAATAAAATATAAGGGTGAATCAAGTTGTCTCAATGGCTAAGCCCTCCTCCCCACCCCCCACCAATAAATATATAGCACTAAATCATTTGTTTATAACTTTTACATGATTCGAGTTTGGATGTTTAAAACAAACTCGCAACTTTGGGGTCAAAAGCTACTGCCCTGACAATGCTATTCTCCCGGGCACACAGTACATAAGACCAGGTATCAATTTTGTTATACTGACCATCAACATATTATTAGAACAGAACACATACAATTCAAATTCTTGAAAAAAAATAATGTCAGCAGGACCATCTAGAACAGGACTGTCCAGAGTAGAGCTATCCAGAACAGGGCTTTCACAGCAGAGCTATCCAGAGCAGGACTGTCCGGAGCAGCGTCTGGCATTGTGCTTTATGTTTTTAAATCAATATTCTGAACTTACTGATGTAATCAACTTTAATGGTCAAACTCAGCTAAAAATATGGACTTTTTTTTTTTCAAATCCACTATTTACAGCACAATGTTGCTGAATTTGTCCACTTTTTAGTATTTTGATGAATGGACCATTTAGGATTGATTCATCCTCGGTATCCGAGTTGTATCATTCCGTATGGAGTAGAACTGAACGATACCACAGTGGTATCATTCTGCCTGGAGTAGAATGGGGTGATACCACAGTGGTCTCATTCCGAATGGAGTAGAACTGAGCGATACCACAGTGGTATCATTCTGCCTCAAGTAGAATTGGGTGATACCACAGTGGTCTCATTCCGAATGGAGTAGAACTGAGCGATACCACAGTGGTATCATTCTGCCTCGATTAGAATGGGGTGATACCACAGTGGTCTCATTCCGAATGGAGTAGAACTGAGCGATACCACAGTGGTATCATTCTGCCTCGAGTAGAATGGGGTGATACCACTGTGGTCTCATTCCGAATGGAGTATAACGAAGCGATACCACTGGGGCTAACAAGGATGGGATTGATTCTGTCAGATTTTTTATTGCAATTAACCCTTCTTTAACCAAGCAAATAAAACCCCACCAAAGATGTATTAAGACCACTAATTATGGAACAGTAAAATTATAAAAGTAGGAAATGAAAGTAGAAAATGTTGTGAAGGAGTGATTGAGTTTTCTATAACGAAAACATGTAAAATATTCTACTATAAAAAAAAACTTTATACATACACAAATGTCTTACAATCTTAGTCATGAAATGTTTGTATGAATGGAATTAATACTAATGACTATAGTTAGCATTAATTTCATGACATAATTAAATGTTGTAATTGAACTTTGCATTTATTTCATGTAAACTTGTCCGTAGTACGGGGCCCTTATTCACAAAAACTTAAACTAAGATACAATCGAAATTTTAAGAAATACTGCAATTCAATTGGCTGACCAGTAAAATCAATTTGCATATATCCAATTTGCATATTGGTCAGCCAATCAAAATGCAGTATTTCTTAAAATTTCGATTGTATCTTAGTTTAAGTTTTCGTGAATAAGGGCCCGGATACAATCGGCAATACTAGAACAATCAGCAATAAATTCATGGCACAATAATTTCATGTTCTACTGTAGCCTCCTTATCGACTATAAATTCTTCCAATGGCATTTACATGTAGTCATTCAATCTGATTAAAACATAGATCTATATTTCGTTTCGTTTTTTTTATACTTTCGATGGAATTTTGAACTATAAAAAACGAAACGAGAGAGAGAGAGAGAAATGGGGTTTAACGTCCACTCGACACAAACTAGGTCATTTCGGGACCAACATATGGTTTTTAATTTTGTTTACATAATTCGCTTGCGCGTAGGGGTCTTTAGCAGTGGGAGGAAACCAGAGGACCCGGAGAAAACCCACGAGGTTGGACAGGCGACCCTACTCCTTGCCACGTACAACCGAGGATTCGAAACCACGCCAGTCGACTCAATGACAGACTTTATGATACAGCGCGCGCACGCTAACCATTCAGCCATCCAACCCCCCAAAAACAAAACGAAATAGGATCTGTGGGTACACTTGCATAATGCATGTTCAATTAGATTTTAAATCCAAGAATAGTACACTTGCATATTGTATGTATATGAGATTTTAAATCCAAGAACAGTACACTTGCATTATGCATGTTTAAGTAGATTTTAATTTAAGTACGGTATTACGGTATAAATGTAAATAAGACAGGCCATCACAATATATTCCAAGAAGAATAGTTTCATGTAATGTTATATACATAATTATAATATACACAATTGTAATTTGATTTTTATAAAACATTTATAAAAAAAATGAATTTTTATGACCGTATACTCCAAGTTTTGTCTTTAAGACAAACAGCGGTCAAAGACAGGCATAATGGCCGAATTGGAAACCATGCTCCAAGACAATTCTAAATTTTTCTTTGACAAATTGATTTAGTCTGTGTATAAATTAGTTACGTTTTCCAAAACATCTGAGTGACTAGGATAAGATGCTGCAAGAATTCTCTTGTTTCGGAGCCAATCTGTACCCAAAATGAATTTGTCTATGTTAAAGGGCACATAAGATGGGCGAGAAAACGTTTTGGTACCCATAGCCAATGGTTACTATATCCACTTTACGGCAAGTTCACACCAATCTGATTATAAAATTAATACAGCTATCTACACTAAAGTCGCAAAAAGATACCAACTATAAAAACGACTTTGCCAATTATCGAAAACACTCTTAATCCCCTCAGACGGCAGTGACATCACAGTGACCAATATGCGTATTTGGAATGTTTATTCCTAAATTACCTACATACAGCTGGCATACGTATTCATTAATGCCTGACTGATTCCTTAATCCCCTAATTAAATAAAAGAAATTGACTACAGAATAAGTGGATATAGTAACCATTGGCTGTATGTACTGAAAAGTCTTCTCGCCCATTTTATGTGCCCTTTAAATTTAAAAGGAAAAAGATTGTTCTAGTTTGCAAAAAATTCTGAGTGAATATAATGAGATGCTAATGAACTACACGTGTTCATATGAATTTTTGACTGATACACTTGGAGCAATCTGATTATAATACAAATCTATATTTCGTTTCGTTTTTTTTTTTTATAACTTCAATGGCCTACACTACATGAAGATCTGACCAGTTGTACTGGGAGGTCGCGTCAGGGGGTCATACGAGTGGCTTTTGACCCTATGATGTCAGACATTGATTAACCAATCAGCGTTGACTTATTTTGACTGATACACTTGGAGTGTACTGAACATGTTAACATAGAAATAACTTCTATGATCACAGAAACATACAAATAATGGATCTATTTACATCTACGAGCGTACATTACAGTTAGAAAAACAAAAACTTCTAATGTCCACCCCTGATCAAATCAAGATCATTTCTGGGCCCTGTTTCACAAAAACTTAAGCTAAAATCACTAAAATAGATTTTAAGTAAAATCAAAATGAAATTTTAAATTTTATGCCTTTCACGAAGTTCGATTCTAACTTAAATGCAATTTTAATAGATTTTAGTATGCTTAAAATTGTTTTGTGAAACTCATCTATCTTAAGTGAGGACGAAATTTTAGTTTAAGACGATTTAAGAAGATTTAAGTTTTATTGAAACACTGCCCCGATTTCTATGAAATGCGTAGAACTATCATAGGAAGCACTGTATGACAAGATTCTCAGACACTCTATTCACAAAAAATTAAAAATGCATTATGTAAGATGTCGATAAAGTGCGGGCCATTCTTGCTATACTAGTTGAAAAATAGACTCAAATATTAAAATCAAATCATTTAATAGCGATCATTTTTCAATCCGTTTAAATCTCTGTCATCCAGTGATCTAGAAAGTTTATTACAGACTTGACTTGTGATGTAAATAGATGTCTGACACAAACTAGGTCATTTCGGGACTAACATATGGTTTAATTTTATTTCAATAATTCGTTTGCACGTAGGGGTCTTTAGCAGTGGGAGGAAACCGGAAGACCCAGAGAAAACCCACGAGGTTGGACAGGCGACCCTACTCCTTGTCACGTACAACCAGGGATTTGAAACCACGCCAGTTGACTTAATGACAGGCCTTATGATACAGCGCGCACATGCTAACCATTCGGCCATCCAACCCCCTCTAATTTATATAACATAAAAATAAATAAATACAACAATTCTATAGATAACAATTACCGTATTTCTATTAAAGCTATGTTTCAACAATGATTCTCTTGTCTTTATCAAGCACAACGATAACGACAAGAGAATCATTGTTGAAACATAGCTTTAATAGAAATACAGTAATTGGTATCTATAGAACTGTTGTGTTTATTTTAATGTGTTCAATTACTAAATACCATTCAAACAGTATAATTTATATAACATTTGAAGCCAAAATAAAAACTTGCTATAGGCACAAGATTTAACTCTTACATAATGCATCTTTAACCTGTAATTATAATACATCAACATAATGCATCTTTAACCTGTAATTATAATACATCAACATAATGCATCTTTAACCTGTAATTATAATACATCAACATAATGCATCTTTAACCTGTAATTATAATACATCAACATAATGCATCTTTAAATCGTAACTATTTTAAGAATACTGATTATTCATTGGCTGGGCACTACAATCATAGCATAGATTTTAGCTCTTGACCAATGAAAAAGCTACTTTCTTAAAATATTTCAGTTTAAGTTTTCTTGCATCTGCTTCTCTTCATCTGCATGGTATTTTATACCAAATAAGGGCACTATGAAGATCTAAAAAATTCTAAATATTTTTGAATTCCAATAAAAAAACGGATGGTTCATTGTCATCTGAAAATTTTGTAATGTACGACACGTCTTGATTAACGTAAAACAATTCTTCCCTCGCGTACCTGTAACGCCCCTCGTCCTAAAGATCCTGTATCACTATCACTAGATCTGGGCACTTCTGAAACGGGACCAGGGGTACTTCTCTCGGGTTTGATCACGATTTGACCACCTTTGACCTCTAAATGACCTTTTATGGGTGGGCTAACAGCAGACGTACCAGTAGAACTTGAACTATCAGATCTCAAAAAGATTTTTCCACCACATACGGCAAGATGGCCGCTTGCTGCTGGGATGACATCTGTATCTTGATTGGCCAACGTCTCATCAGCGGACCTATTTGCAGATGAATCAAGGGCAGCTTGTGGGGGTGTTTCTGTGACCGGAGTTTCAGAGGTTGATGGCGTATTTGATGTTTCGTCAGTGGAGGTGCTGGGTCGATTCAGATGTTTAACAGCGCCCTCTACACACATGAAGATGTTAGATGGTGGAGGTGAGACTGAATGGTTGTCATGAGAACTACTTGAAGCACTAGGTCTAGGGGAGATAACTCTAGGTGTATTATTGTCATGTGATGAAGTTGATGAACATGAAGGGGGTGGGGGAGTGAGTATATGTCCTACAGAATTGTCTATGTTAGTCAAGGATATATTAGCACTATTTGCGTTAATGTTAGAATGACTAGCACGCACTGCACCTACAGCTCCTTCGACACTCGTAAAAATGTTTGAAGACTGAGCACGATTTTCAGGGACAGTTTGAATGGAATTAGATGATTGATGCTGAATTTGCATAAGATTTGCAGTAGCGACGGTGGAAGATAGATCGTGACGACTGGTGTTAGTGGCAGTCTCTACAGTAGTTTTTGGGTTTCTATCAATAGTACTATAGGCGGGAGGCGGAGAATCACGGACTTCTAATTCAACGCCAACTACTTCAGCATACGAAGGCGGCGCCTCCATCAATCCACCAAATTCAGAATTAGGTACGTATTGAACGCCGTTATTAACATTCACGATGATGTTACCATAATGCGAGTTAGAACCTACGGGAAGAAAGGCCTCGTGTTCTGACGGTCGACCGTGCTGCGAGCCTGATTGGTGTCGTCTGTGTCTCTCCAAGGCTCTAGCGACTCGTCTAGCGCGAAGTCTTTTCATTTTAACACGAAATACTATGATAACTATAAATGAAATGAAGATGACTAAGGCCACAGTACAACCAATCACAATATAGACCGTTGTTTTCAACCAATTAAAATGGTCGGCATCTGGATCAAGTGGAGTAGGGGACACAAGTGTCACATCATCTGTAATATAAACAATAAGAACATATTTTAAGTAACAATCACACAAGATGTCACAATAAGGGATCCGACGAGAATTTTAGGAACAATTCTTACTTGTCAATGATTGCATGTGTGAGAAATGAAATGGGGTTTATTGTTGCACTGTTCTGTTCCGACGGGGCTAATGAAGATGGGCATATGCCATAAGTGTACTGTTCTGCTTCGACTGGGCTAATGAAGATGGCCATATGCCATACACAATATTATGAGGGAAATTTTGCCTGGGCGGCACTATGGCCTACTCTTATATCGAATTCAAACTGTAAACGGATCTATTACGTGCACACCAATGTATACACGGGACCTTGTTTTTTTGTAATATCCTAACGACAGTTGTCCTTGTCCAATCTAATTAAAATATAGATCTATATTTCGTTTCGTTTTTTATGCTTTCGACATGTAGATCTAACAAGTTATAGTGGGAGTTCACGTTCTATGATGTCAGGTACCAAGCAAGCGACATTTGACCCGATTACGTCAGTCATTCGATTAACCAATTAGCGACCACCATGTATTTTTTATCTACTTATGCTTTGTTTTGATTTCTATTGCCGCTAATGTCTACCCACAATTCCGCGCAAAAAAGGTCAAGCGCTCGATTCGACAGACCATTTGATTGGCTGACCCCTCATTTCAAGCAGAACACGAGTTAAATAACAACGCTTCCAGATCCAAGTGTAGTAAAGACAAGTAAAAACAAAATTTTGAACTATTAAAACTAAACGAAATTGGATCTGTGTTTTAACCAGATTGGTCCTTGTTAGGTCCTTAGCAGTTGGAAATCGATATAAGAGTAGGCCATAGGACCACTTCACTCATAGCACACTGTCTATATTTGCCCAGTCAGAGCAGAACAGTAGGATGTTAAACCCCATTTCATTTCTCTGAGTGAAGAGTTATTGTTGTTCTTAAGTGTTTAACGTCTGCTTCCACCAAAGGGAGGAAGCCGGAGTACCCGGAGTAAACCGCCACATACGCTCACACCAGGGATCGAAACCACAAAGCATGCCAGAGGTGACCCGCCAACTAGAGGTCGAAGCGTGACATTCTAGACCACTAGGCCATCCTAACCCCCCAGGAAGAGTTATAACTGTTAATAGGTTTTAAAACGTGGGAACTATTAACTGTTATAACTCTTCTAACAGTAATACAAAATGGTTTCATGTTTATCTATATTTTTATGTACTTGTAGACTGTAGTGTAATCAAGCTCTTTGTCGTTAAATATAGTTAACTATAATCACAAACTCCTTTAATAATTAATAACAATTAATTAAGTATGACTTCATATTGTACATTTATATATATATATATATAGACCCCCCAGTTTACTTAATGTCATTGTGCTTGATAACGATAGAGTATACATGTGTATAATAAACCAGTGATTGTTTTCCCATATAACTGTGTTAGTTCTGTAATGTCTCCAATCGCTAAATGCCACTAAAGGTTTATGTATTAGCTTGAAACCATGACGTAGAACCCACTTACCTATTTTCGGATCCTCCATGTGGATTAATCGACAACTGTCGTTTAATTCATCCGAATAATCTCCGCAATCATCAGAACCATCACATAAAAATAAATGATCTATACATTGACCGTTGCGACACCGAAACTTTGATTCACAGACGGATCCTGAAACAAGCACAGTAATACTGTAAAACTGATATGCTAAAGACAGAGAGAGAGAGAGAGAGTGGGAGGGTTTAAAGTCCATTTGACACAAACTAGGTCATTTTGGGACTAACATATAGTTTAATTTTATTTCAATAATTCGCTTGCGTGTAGGGGTCTTTAGCAGTGGTAGAAAACCGGAGGATCCGGAGAAAACCCACAAGGTTTGGAAAGGCGACACTACTCCAGTTGACTCACAGGCCTTGTGATACAGCGCGCACATGCTAACTATTCGGCCATCCAATCGCCCATGGTTGTCAATATTTACATGTATCAAGCTAGTTTTAAAGGGTTAACATAGAATCAATTTAAGGCCACAAAAAAAATATATTCTGGTTTTCAGATATAGCCTCATCATAAAAAATGGGCCGTGTGACATGTTTTTATTTCTCCAGTAGACTGTTTTATATTTCCCGAGAACTATTTCTGTGAGAGAGATGACTGAAAGTACCGTTGGCACAGACTTTGATTCAAATCGCCAGCAGAATCCATGCTTTGACAATGAGTACGGTATCGATGCCATGTTATAGTCGCCAATACGGCATTAAAAAAACATGTTAATCTGTATGATGTCACAGAATTATTTGGCCGCTATTTCAAAATCTTATTTATTTTCTCTGTGTCTTATTTAGAGTTTATAATAATTTAGTGGTTTCATAGAAATGAAAAAACAGCCAGATTTTGACAAAATAAGAACAAAAGAAAACAAAAACTGCTCTCCCGCAGGATTCTCTGGGAACCGAGATATTATTTTTGTGTGAGTAAATATTGTTACAAACTTGGACAATCTTTTTCATCTGATTGGTCGGTACAATGAGGAATTCCATCACATCTATATCGTAGAAATATACAATTATCTCCTGTCATACATCTAAATCTTGTATGCCCACATGACGGACTGATAGCTGAAATATAAAATATACAATTATCTCCTGTCATACATCTAAATCTTGTATGTCCACACGATGGACTGATGGCTGAAATATAAAATATACAGTTATCTCCCTTATCACTCTAAAAAAAAGACAGAAATGGGGTTTAACGTCTACTCGATACAAACTAGGTCATTTCGGAACTAACATTTATAAGGTTCAATTTCATTTCAAAATTTGCTTGTGCTTAGGGGTCTTTGGCGGTGAGAGGGAACTGGAGGAGTCCCAGAGGAAAAACCAAGAGGTTGGAAAGGCAACCCAACTCCTTGTCACGTTCAATCAGGGAATCGAAACAACACCAGTTGACTTAATGACAGGCCTTATGATACAGTGCGCATGTGCCAAGCCCCCTCTAGACTAATGAAGATTGGCATACACAATATAGTGTGCTATGACTATGAGGGAAAACTTGCCCGAACAGTTGAGCTACGGCCTACCAGTTGACTCAATGACAGACCTTATGATACAACGCGCACATGCTAATCATTCGGCCATCTAACCCCGCTCTAGACTAATGAAGATTGGCATACACAATATAGTGTGCTATGAGGGGAATCTTGTCTACGGCCTACGCTTATTTCAAATTCAAACTGTGAAGGATTCTTTTACATGCACACTAACATGTACACAGGACCTCAAGTTTTTGTCCCACCCTAACGACTAGAATCAACCTCTGAATTTAGTCACATTTTACAAGGGTGGCTCCAGGATTTTCAGAAAGGTGGGGGTGGGGGGGTGCTGCCCCCACTTGGGAGTGCGAAGCCCGGCCCTCGGTGGGCGGACTGACGGACAATCAACGACGGGGATCACTACCATTTTTAAATATTTTTGTTCTTCTATCACGCAAATTGTTCGCCACCACAAAGGTGCCCCCCCCCACCTTGGATCCGCACCTGTTTTACTTACATTTCCTAGCAACATGAAGGATTAATTTGTTGACTGTTTCTGTATTGTCGTACGTTATCAACACACATTTATAGATACCGGCATCCGACCTGTGTAATTTAATAATATGAAACGATGAAGTCACATTATTCTCACGATGTTGGTAGAAGTTCTGTTTGTGGTCGTCGGTACTGAGGCTCTGTCGCGTCCAGAATATATTTTTGGGAGGGTGACGAAGGTTTCTAGCCTGACATTTAACTGTTAGAACGTCTCCCTCAATACCATCTACAGACTGAGGCGTTATTATTAATTCACTCACGCTACATATCGGCTCTGAAAAAAAAACAAGCCAACAGTGAGGCTGATGTCCCCCGCCGAAATTGCAAAATAAATAGATGACACATATTAATTAATCGCACATTTATTTTTTTCACTAAGTTTCATCACTCTCTATCAGATAGAATCAAGATTATCTTGTCCCAAACCATCGACAAATGAAATCGATTAGCTCTGCTTAGCTTCAGCTCGAAATGTTAATTATTGAACTCAGTCAAGACATTCACCTAATGAACATCTACATATACATCAAGTTTAAACATTCACCTAATAGACACCTATGCCAAGTTTGAACATTCTACCTCAATTAGAAGGAGAGTTATTGTGTTCCAAAGTTTCTACCAATCAAATTGCTTATCACTCTGCTTACCCTCAGCAAAAAATGTTCATTATCAAACTTAGTTAAGGTATTCATATAATAAATCTATACACCAAGTTTCATCAATCTCACTTAATTAGAACTAAAGTTATCGTGTCCCAAAGCATCAACCAATCAAATTGCTTATCTCTGCTTACCCTAAGCGGAAAATGCTCATCTTCAAACTCCATCAAGGCATTGACCTAATCAACACATACACCAAGTTTGAACATTCTAGCTCAATTAGGAAGAGAGTTATCGTGCCCCAAAGTATCAACCAATCAAATTGCTTATCTCTGCTTACCCTAAGCGGAAAATGCTCATCTTCGAACTCCATCAAGGCATTGACCTAATAAACACATACACCAAGTTTGAACATTCTAGCTCAATTAAAAGTTATCGTGTCCCAAAGCATCAACCAATCAAATTGCTTATCTCTGCTTACCCTAAGCGGAAAATGCTCATCTTCGAACTCCATCAAGGCATTGACCTAATCAACACATACACCAAGTTTGAACGTTCTAGCCCAATTAGGAAGAGAGTTATCGTGTCCCAAAGCATCAACCAATCAAATTGCTTATCTCTGCTTACCCTAAGCGGAAAATGCTCATCTTCGAACTCCATCAAGGCATTGACCTAATAAACACATACACCAAGTTTGAACATTCTAGCTCAATTAGGAAGAGAGTTATTGTGTCCCAAAAAGTGTGACGGACAGACAGACGGACAGACAGACGGACAGACAGACAGACAGACAGACAGACGGACGAACCCATTTTAATAGTCCCCTGCTTTCTTCGAAAGGCGGGGGACAAAAAAAAAATCCAATAAATATTGTGAGTATGGGTAATATTTTTATATCCGTGACAAATCAAAACCAATTTCGTGGAACAATTCAAAAGATATTTTGTTGGGGGGTTTTTTTCAGAGAGAGAAATGGGGTTTATTAACGTCCACTTGACACAAACTAGGTCATTTCTGGACTAACACATACATGTAGTTCAATTTTATTTCATTAATTCGCTTGCGCGTTGGGGTCTTCAGCAGTGGGAGGAAACCGGAGGACCCGGAGAAAACCCACAAGGTTGGACAGGCGACCCTACTCCTTGTCACGTACAACCGGGGAATCGAAATCCCCGCCAGTTGACTCAATGACAGACTGTATGATACAGCATGCACATGCTAACCCTTCGGCCATCCAACCCCCTTGTTTGTTTTCAATCTGAATCTTTATACCAGTGGTTCTCAACCTCTTTTTGGTAGCGGCACACCTTGGAACACATGAAACAATACCGGCACACCTGGCTAAATATATATGAAAAATATTTGAATTTTGCAAAATAAAAACATAACAAGTCATAGATTGCATACAACCGTAGACACAGACTAGTCATAGACACATCGAATGGCTCAAACTAAATGAAGAAAAACACAGCTATGAACTGACCAGTAGACACCAGTGAATACTCAATTAGGATCATGTGGTTTTTCGCATTTTCTTAGTGTGCCGTTCAAAATTTTGCGGCACACTTAGGCAGATTATGCGGCACACCCATGTGCCGCTCCAAACTGGTTGAGAACCACTGCTTTATACAATAGATATCACGACAACCACCTACCCATTAGTCAAAGAACAGATCTCGGTAGAGTTTGTGCTTACCCAATTGTCAGAATATTATTTCCGACCGAAAATTTGAAAAGCCAGTCAGATGTTTATCCAGCCTGACATGGTGTAAGACAAACATTTGAAAGTTATTTCCTGACTTGATTGTGACCCAAGGCTTGCATGCAGGTGTCTTTAGTAGAGGGAGGAAACCAAAGAAAACCCATGAGGTTATACTGGCGACTCTACTCCTTGTCATGTACAAGCAGGAAATTGAAACCGGCACTTGACTCAATAACAGACCTTATGATCCAATGGGGATACGTTAAACCATTCAGCCACCCAACCCCAGTGAATGGATACATGGGCGTTCGGATTGACTGGGCCGATGGAGAGAGAGAGAGAGAGAAATGGGGTTTAACGTCCACTCGACACAAACTAGGTCATTTCGGGACTAACATATGGTTTAATTTTATTAACATAATTCGCTTGCGCGTAGGGGTCTTTAGCAGTGGGAGGAAACCGGAGGACCCGGAGAAAACCCACGAGGTTGGACAGGCGACCCTACTCCTTGCCACGTACAACCGGGGATTCAAAACCACGCCAGTAGACTGAATGACAGACTTTATGATACAGCGCGCGCACGCTAACCATTCAGCCATCCAACCCCCCCTGGGCTGATGGTATATGTCCACTTGAAAATGTGAGTCTATAAAAAGGTGTTGATCTTTTCAATCGGGCCTAATTCTTGTAGTAGAATAACCTAGAATAACAATGGACACCGCACATGCTAGCTTCTGTCTGTAACTATATAGACTAATAGCAAATTGTAATTACACTGGGCCTTTAATTACAGTATCAAGTTCTTTGAAATGAAAATGAAATGAAATGGGGTTTAACGTCCTACTATTCTGCTCCAAACTTGGCAAATGAAGATGGGCATACGCCATACAGTGTGCTTTGAGAGAAAATCAGGATAAACTTTCTCAGCCAATGCAGGGATTGAACACTCAACCTTCAGCCTAGCCACTGTGACCAGTGACCTCCTATCATGTTTTTCAATTCAAAAGAGGGGATTTAAGGACTGACACAGAAAGAGAAAGAGAGAAATCGAGTTTAACATCCAGTTGACGCAAACCATGTCATTTTGGGACTAACATATTGTTCAATTTTATTTCAATAATTCGCATCTGCGTAGGGGTCTTTTAGCAGTGGGAAGAAATCAGAGTACCAGAAAAAAAAAACACGAGGTTGGACAGGCGACCCTACTCATTGTCACGTTTAACCAGGGAATCAAAACCATGTCAGTTGACTCAATGACAGACCTTATGATACAACGCGCATGTGCTAACCATTCAGCATCCCAATACCCCTTCAACCGGGGAATCGAAACCACGCCAGTTGACTCAATGACAGACCTTATGATACAACATGCAAGCGCTAACTCAGCCCCCAATACAGTGAGCTTTCTTGTATAGGCCCTACTTGCCATATTGCATTAAGATGACAAATCAAAGCTATCTGTAGCTTAACGGTCAGCAATGTTTTCAAATCTAAACCAGTTTAAATTCAATGTCTGGATCACAAACAATACATTTAGGTTTAGAGTAAAAAGTGCAGCTTAAGGGCCTTACAATTTGTTTTTGCATTAAAAGTTTGTGAATTTTTATATGTAGGCCTACAGTTGAGTGATTTTTTAAAAAAAATGTCTCAGTCTGTGTTGCAAATTCAACTAATTCAAGTATTATTATTTAATTTTGGGTCTCATCAATTCTAAATCTGATAATGTGTGTATTCTTTTTGTTCCAGTAAAGAATTTTAATGAGATGAGATGTTAATTGCATCAAAACGTCCATTAAGGACAGCATGCATACATGTACATACATGATGTACAGTACATAACACATGTGTACATGAATGAAATTGAATATCTAAAATGTTTTTCACTTTCAGCTACAATGTCAATAATAAGAGACATGTAAAATAAAATACACTGACATTAGCGTGTACCAAGCTCAAGGGCAGTTAACTCTGTTTGGCTTAATATTTGGTCCAAAAACTGGTTATGATTTTAAGCGGAAAAGTAGCTATCGAATTACAGGGCTGGCCACGAATAAATTGATGGCGAGCAGATGACTGCTCACGCAAATTTAGGTTTGGGCGAGCAAGGCGAGCAATAAAAATTGCTCACGCAAAATGTTGTTTGCGTGAGCACACATTTTGTAACATTGTTTCAATTTAAAATCATAAGAAAATTGCTATTCCTGGCACAAAGTTTGCAGTAAACATGTGTGACCATCGCTTTCTGTTTTTGACAGTCATACGTACTCTTCTTTAATAAAACCAATTTCCGTATGGATTTCTTCACCCCACGAAATAAATGTGGATAGGGCAATCAGGTTGCCTTTGGCCATTATTACGCTTAGATTGAAAATTATACGACTGCACAATGGAATAAAAACCGAAGTTCTGATAAAATAGGAAATACCGATAAATATTAGTTTGAAACGTGTTCATTTAGCGTGAATGCCTAATGCCGGATGTAAACATTCTTTACTTTAGACTCGATTATCACGTGTTTGTTACTGGTGTTCGTAGGAAAACCAGTTATGACGTTCAGGTCTAAAGTGTATTTTTAGTAACACAAGTTGCGAGTAACTTTATTAGCCAATCAAATTTCAGGAGGAAATGCCGCGTGCAGCTGGGTGAATCTCAGTTTTGACAGACGAATTTATGACGTTATTGACATTGTTGGGTTAGTTTCGGCAAAAAACTTGTCAATATTTTAATTATTTTTGCAGGGTTTTCTTAAAATTTTGCGCGAGCAACGAACTTTTGTTGGTGGGTGGTGTAACTTGGCGGGAGATGTTCGGGAGAATGTTGGGCCCGTATCTGGTGAGTGGAACGATTTATTCTAGAATTTTAAAAAGTTCAAATATTTTCCATTTCTTTACGTAAGAATATTCCAACATAATTTAACGATTTAATGACACTTTAGAGAATATTCTATTCATAAAAAATTACAAACCGAATTGTCATGGACGTAATCATGCGTTAAATTGAGAATAAGGAAAACAATCAACAAATAACGGTACATGGCGATAAACCGGAAGTGGAATATCAATAATGGAAGCCTATGGCGAGCGCTGTAGCTATTTGTTTTCATTCCGTAAAAATGTGCTTATTCTGTCTTTTTTTTTACATAGATCGGTTACAACATGACTTAGAAAATAAAACTACCCATGTTTATAATATATTAATGGTAAAATTTTAGCCGACATTATTCGATCTGTAGAAAATGGACCGAAACCGACCCGAAGAAACGACATAAATAAAACAGATAGGCTAACGCACGTTTTTAAAAGCAGAATTTGTATTTACAAAGAATAATTCACATAGAAACTAAAGTGAAATGTTTGGCCAATTTATTATCACTGATATATATGACATAATGTCATGCGATATTGCGAGTAGGCTGTCTTTTTTAAATTTCAAAAATAATGTTTGTCACTATAGTAAGTAGACTTAGTAGTATCAGATTAGGTGGGTATGAAAACTAATCCTTTGTGCTGGTTTGTTTAGTTTATTTAATTTTATTTGTTTTTTCTATTTTACGATAGACTCTGAAGCAGAGGCCTCATGCGTTCAGTGACCAGACTATCTGTCATATCAAAAATTATTACCTCAACTAGTTGATAAACAAAAAGAAACAGCTAGCAAAAAACAATTGTTGTTTGAAACTTTTCAAATATTATTATATAATACCATATATTGTTATTATTTTATATATATAAAAAATATCTATTTATTTATTTATTATTATATAATACCATGTATTGTTATCATTTTATATAAATAACCAATATCTATTTATTTTATTTATTTATTTATTAAGAATTAAATTGAATTTAATTGAATATTTCGTAGGATGAAATCTTAAAAGCCTTGTTGTAATTTTACTATTTTATATCTATTTTCAGGTACGCCTACTGGTATAACAAATCAGTTGCATTAGAAACAAATTTTACTTTCTTACAATTTCATGTTTCATAATTGTACATTTTTTTCTTTCTTTTTTTTCAATTAAAAAAAATTGTTAACTTTAAATAAATCATATTAACAGTATTATGTGTTTAGATTCAGTTTCCAAGGAGTAGGGTCAACTGCCCAACCTCATGGATTTTCTCTGCGGAATCCCCACTGCTAAAGACCCTTGCCGACAAGGAAATTATTGAATTAAAACAGTGGTGTATGTTAGTCCCAAAATGACCTAGTCTGAGTGAAGTGGAGTTAAAACCCTCTCTCCGCATCCTTCTTTCTATTTCTCCATATATCTTCTTTTCCCCTGCTTGAAATGCATATTTTAGGATTTGTGTGATGGGAGCAAATGTTTAAAAAGGAGAAATAGCAAATAATCGTCAAATTTAAGCCTAACCCTGTTCATTGGTAACCACTTTTCCTGAAAAAAGGGGTCTTATTTGTTATCTGAATGATTGTGAATTTAATAAGGATAAAGGAGCAACCAAACTGTTATTCTACCAAGTTTCATGTTAATTCATTGAAAAATAATTTGTTTACATTGCACTGAAGTCAAATTACCACTTTTTGGACCAGATTTCAAACCGAAAAAACAAAATCAATAAAAATTGAATAATAAAAAAAGTATAAGTCCGATTCTAAAAATTTAAACGGTTTTGAAATTCTAATGTTTGGGCAATTATTTCTGCCATGTTTCAAAGCAATTGCTCAAAAAATAAAATTTGGTTGGTACATGCTACTGACATTGAACAATTGTCATAAAAACAAAGTACATGATATTAATTTATTATGCAGCTATTTTATTCACCCATCCATCATTCTAGAAAATGACAGCTCTACTAAGTTCGACCGAGTGTCGGTGTTTGATGAAGATCAAAGAGAACGGGTGAAACTGATCCCTGCTTCTGCTGAAAAGGCAAGTTCTCTGACCTCAATAAAACGATTACTGAAAATATGTATATTTTGACTTTCAAGTGAATTTACCTGATATTAATAATAATACACAAACAATAAAACCCTTTCTCATCCTACAATCATTTCTACAGAGTGATTAATCTTTGTTGATAGATAAATCTACAGAATTCTTTCACTGAACACCCCATTAAAAACACTGTACAGCAGCGCCATCTAGTCAAAGATGGGGACCGGTTTGTAAACTGTTAGTTCAAGGGACCATTCATTTATCGAGATAGCTTTTTATCTTCCTTTATGCGCATAACCGTTTGTCGCGGTTTGTCTCGGTCATCTTTGAAGGTAAAATGGTAGGCATACATAATAATTAAAAATACATTATGCAAGAGCTAAATCTGCCTATTGCAGGTCTTTCTTTAGGCCTGAAATGTTTTCTAAATTATTAATTAGACATTAATTAAAGATACATTATGGGAGATTTTTTATAGAGAGTTGGCCATTCTTGCTATAACCGTTCAAAAGAAGATGATGAAAGAAGAATATATTGAAAATTTCAGTCAAATTACTTTATTCTGAACATAGTTATCATCGTTGTAATATTTGACTAGAAATGGTAGCGAAATACGTCTTCACCTTGGCCTATCGTTTGATTGACAGGCGTTAACTCCACCTACATATCTCGATTATCAAGTAAAGTTTTCAATGTCATACGGAAACGTTTTACAGCGGACTCGCTAAGTACACTCTATCATTTAGCCTCGATCTAACTGACGTATTTTCATCAGGGTGCGCCATTATTTGATTTAATCAATAAGTGAAATCCTATTTAAATCCGAGCTGTAGCCGAGCCATCCGTGGGTCTACAGAGTTGGTTTTGGGCTTGTTGTTTAAATAAAGATCTAATTTATAATTTCTATAACATCTGAAGCCTAAATTAAGACTTGCAATAATCAGATTTTGCTCTTGCATAATGTATGTTTAACTTATATCCAGGCCATAATCAACTCTCGATGTCATCGGATTTCTCCGATATTAAATAGATTAGAACAGTTCAGCCATATTTTGATTTAAGCTAAAAATGGAGGAGCGAGACTTAGCTTCGAACAACCAGTACGGTGGTTGAAATTATTGCACACGTCTTGTCAAATCTTCAAAATGCTAATATTTTCGCTCGCAATAGAGTAATTTGAATGCAATTTTTAAATTATCCATATTTTACATTATCTATTTTCGAACTATTATAGCAAGAATGGCCAGCTCTTTATCTAAATCTTACATACTGTATTTTTAATATATTAAATATACATCATTTACCGATCAATAATTTAAAATAATATTTTATGCATGAATAACCCATAAACAATAATTGATTCAATGAACATACGTAATTTTGCACAGTATTGAAGATATTGCAATAAATTACCAACAACGAAAGATATTTTAATAGATATTCAACATATGAAAAATACAAAATTTAAGTGATCTCATAAAAAAAAATGACAAAATTATGGATAATTGAAATATCAAAAAATATCAACACAAGTCGATAATGTAAAAAAAGAACGAAGCTTTGTCATAATTTTTTTTTTACTTTATCGACGAAGAGTTGATATAATTTGATATAAAAAAAGACGGGTAGATTTTATTTATCACTCAACCCTTTCTTAAACGCACAAATAAATAAATACAATTTTTTGGTATACATTAAAAACGATAACTCCTAGGAGATATCGCTCAGTAGAATATGAAAGTTATCACACAAAGGATATCTACTGTTCTTATTGGGTGATAAATGTAGTTTAATGGTCGAGTGCGGATATTAAGTAATATATTGATATTGTAGAGTGGACTAGCACGTACGAGGGCAATATCTATAATACTGTATATTACGCAGTGTCTTGCACGAGACCATATCTGCGATATCACGCCTGACAAGGACAGCTGTCTAGTCCTTCGGATGAGACGAAAAACCGAGGTCCCGTGTATACATTGGAATGCACGTAAAAGATCTCTTGGCAGTTGGAATTCGATATAAGAGTAGGCGATAGTGCCGCTGCCCGGGCAAATTTCCCTCATAGCACACTGTATGGCGTATGCCCATCTTCATTAGCCCAGGTTAGGAGCAGAACGGTAGGACGTTAAACCCCATTTCATTTCATTTCATTTCTGCGATATCACTTCGTTGGAAGCGGACGTTAAATAAAGCTATTTCACACAGGAAACCACTAAACAACTTAAAATACAGACACTATCCAGCACTACATAAAATGTACGCCGCCATTGAATCAACAGGTAATAAGCCCTTTGGTCAAAATTTCAATTATCCATAATTTTGTCAAATTATTATGAACATTGAAATAATAGGTATGATGTTTCGAATATGAATATTTATATAACATAGCTTTCCTTTCTTGTTGGTCACTTCTTGCAGTACCATCGCGGTAAAAGATAAAAGTCAAGGCCAACTGTTGATTTCTTCAGGGGTCGCGAAGTGTAAATAGGGTTAGGGCACGTGATTGTTGACGAGATTGTGGAATTGGGTTACGGGTAGGTCTGTTAGGGTTAGCGCTAACTCTGTTTACATCTCGCGACGCTACATCGGGTTGATCGCAGATTTTTCTATTTGAAGTATACTATTTGATCTTAAATTAAGATTGAACTTTTGTTATGGCCACGTTGGAGCTCTAAGTGATGCAGCAGGGGACGTTGAACGACGGGCAATTGTAGACATTTTCACCGAACTGGAAGATTATTATTTTAATATATAATAAGATACGGCCCGTCATATAAACCTAACGACAGATGAGCGGTTACACCTACTTGGAGCTTTTGTGTTTTAACTGTGATATTTACATTCGCGAATGGTATAATAAAATGTAGCTTAGATTTGGATACACAGCCAAAAAATACTTGTTCAGTGAAAACTTATATACTGTGACGAATAAAAACAGTCAAAGTTAGATAACCATGCTGTAAATGATAATTTTTATTTTATTTTTTACGCCTTGTCTCATCTCATACCCGCTGTTGTATCCACGGTATAAAACAATATTCCTCGTTTATATTTCATGCATGGTGCATCTCTGACAGCTGATGGGACTATATATCACCCACGGTCGCTCAGTGAGCATGGCGCTGGTTCACTAATCAGGGGGTCCCGGATAGAAAGTACCTCGGGATTTTCAGGTTTGTTTTTCCTTGAGAAGGAACATCGACTAGTCCTACGGATCGTAAAAAAACAACCTGTCGTTCGGATTGAGCGAAAACAATAACTAGTCGTTCGGATTTTACCAAAGACCGAGGTCTCGTGTACACGAGGTGGCGTGAACGTAAAAGAATCCTTGACATTTTGAATTCGACGAAGGGGGAAACACTGCTGTCCCAGGCCCGTGAAAAAATTGTCGACCATAAAAACAATAGATATACATTGTCCGTCAGTTTTACAGCACCCCCTGAGAACACTTTCTGTCCCGCCCTCGTTGCCCTAAGCTAGTTACGACCCTGCGCTGTCCGAGTAAAATTTCACCCATAGCACACCTGTATGACGTATGTCCGTCTCCATCAGCCCAGTTGGTACATAAACGTAGTGCAAAAGGCTGGGTTAGTAAGACGTTGGCTCGTTAACCTGGAGGTCCCCTGTTCGATCCAGGTATCCGCCGAGACAATTCATCGGAATTTACCGACTGGTTTACCCTTGTCAGTGGTGCAAGACAGAGGACCTGACAAGCGGAAACGGATAGTCGTTGGGATGGGACGAAAAACCGCGGTCCCGTGTACATATTGGCATACCCGTAAAAGACCACTTAGCAGTTGGAATTCGATATAAGAGTAGGCCTTAGCGTAAATTTTCCTCATAGTAAACCGAGGTCCCGTGTACGTTAAAGATCCCTTGACAGTTGGAATTCGATAGAAGAGTAAGCCGTATTGCCGCTGTCCGGGCAAAATTTCTCTCTTAGCACACTGTATGGCGTATGCCCGTCTTCATTAGACCAGTAGGACGTAAAACCCCATGTCATTGTTTATTTTTATTATTATTTATTTTAACAAAAGATCCATATAAGCCCCGGTTATCAAGGAATTTTCTTGAATGTCCAGTTTTTTCATCAGATCTTCTGCTATTTGTTGTCCCTCCTCCGTAGTTTGATTTTCTTTCATGACCACCTGAAAGGGTAATGGATGGGATACAATTTAATTCTAATGTAATCAATTTCAATAACAAACTAGGTAATTCCGGGAAAGACATACGGTTCAATTTTATTTCAATAATTCGCTTGCGCGTATTATAGCGGTCTTAAGCAGTGGGAGGAAACCGACGGACCCGGAGAAAACCCACGAGGTTGAAGAGAGAGAGAGAGAGAGAGAGAGAGGGGGGGGGTTAATGTCCACTCGACACAGAATAGGTTATTTCACGACTAACACATGGTTCAATTTTATTTCAATAATTCGCTTGCGCGTAGGGGTCTTTTGCAGTGGGAGGAAACCGGAGGACCAGGAGAAAACCAACGAGGTTGAACAGGCGACCCTACTCCATGTCACGTACAACCGGGGGAATCAATACCCCGCCCATGCGGTTGGACATCTTATTCATTGAGCCACTGTGACAATGGTCTAGCAGATGAAATGAAATGGGGTTTAACGTCCTATTTTTCTCCACTAACCGGCATAATAAAGACAGACATACACTATAGAGTGTGTTATGGGGGAATTTTGCCCGGACAGCGGCGCTACGGTCTATTTCAAATGCTAATTGGCAACCTCGATGTTTCGTCACATCGGAATGGCAAGGTGCTGTTTCTTACCAGGTCCAACCATTCCACCTCATGGACAAGGGGAAACAAGCCAGAAAATTCACAGGAACGTTCTCGACCAACACCATTACCCAACCCGGGAACTCCTGGTTAGCGGAGCTAGAGCTTAACTCACTGATATGGGATGTTGGATCATACCAATCAAATGGCGTGATTTCGATTCCGCGCGTGTACGTGACAAGGAGTAGGGTCATCAGTCCAACCTCGTGGGTTATCTCTGGTTTCCTCCCTCTGCTAAAGTCAAAAGCTTTGTAGCTGAGAGCGGGAATAACAAAATACAAAGATGTCAACCTCTAATTCCATGAAACTGCCGAGGCCTTCTACATCATCAACATGAATTCTCGTTTGATCCACTAAAAACAAAAACCGTTTTTTCTTCACTACGCCTTTAATACCATAAGCTTTTCCTAGGGTAACCTGTCACAAAGAAAAACAATTACAAAATTCCAGTTTAATACCGAGGGTAAAAACTACACAACTCTACACAAACTAGGTGACTTTGGGACTAACACACGCTTTTGCGTAGGGGTCTTTAGCATTGGGGGAAACCGAAGGATCCCGAGGGAACCCACAAGGTGGGACAGGCGACCCTACTTCTCACGTACAACTGGGGAATCGAAACCTTATGTTGCGGCGCGCACGCGCTAACCATTCTGCCATCCAACCCCCTAGCAATTATGTCAATCTGTTTCACAGAGAATTACGAGTCTCGTATAAAATCTCTGTCATAGATGACTGCCTTAACACGGGCTCGTCACAGCACGCGGTGTGAATCATTGGCTGAATGGCGCGTGCATTGTGTACATAAGACATAACTGCTTCGGAGAGAATGCTGCATTTTAGTCATTTTAATACCCATTTACACTAAATCGGAAATAATTTTTAACTACAAATACGTCAAACGCCTTTATTTATTTTTCCAATATATACAAAAAATGTTTTAGAATTTAATTTGTCGCAGGAAAAAAGTTAATATTTCTAGCTCATTAAGCCGCATCAATGTCATCCTTATCAGTGATTGTCGCGGCCAAGCAAATATTCACTGCGGATCAGTGTGCAATTATGTATGTTTAATTATATACATTTAACACCCAATAACAGTAGATATCACGTCATTTAACACCCAATAACAGTAGATATCACGTCATTTAACACCCAATATCAGTATATATTACGTCATTTAACACCCAATAACAGTAGATATCACATTTAACACCCAATAACAGTAGATATCACGTCATCGTGGCGCCCTAAATAGACTAAAGAATAAGCTTGGCTTTTGTAACATTGTTAGAGTTCGACATAAACGGGAACACTATCAAGGCCTTTATTGTCTAACCGAAATGGTAAATGTTCCATAGCGTCCATTATATATATATAGAACACGCACCTGTTGGATGTATCATGATATTTTAAATTTATTACACGTACCTTTAAACTTTCCGGGTCTTCTATTGTTGTGATATGATATTCCGAAAATTTAGGTCCCGTTTGATCCGGGCGATTATAAAATATCAACATTGATTTCTCATTTTGGAGTTGTCTGAGTTTTAATCGTCCAGTGGTTGCATTAAAAAACGTATCTTCTTGAACAATTAAAACCCCATCACTGCCACTCACTTCTTTAGCTTTTCGCTTCATGTTCTCCAAATCACCTACCTTGGCTTTAATCTCTACATTAGATGGCATCTTCACAGATCTAGGAGAGACGAAAACGATATTTTTTAAGCAATATTTTATTCATTTGAAAATGAAATGGGGAACAGGCTTAATAGATCTATGTTGACTGAATGAAATGGGGTTTAACGTCCTACTATTCTGCTCCTATACTGGGCTAATGAAGACGGACATACGCCATACAGTGTGCTATGAGGGAAATTTTGCCCGGGCAGCGGCACTATCGCCTACTCTTATATCGAATTCCAACTGCCAAGGGATCTTTTACGTGCATTCCAATGTATACACGGGACCTCGGTTTTTCGTCTCATCCGAAGGATTAGACAGCTGTCCTTGTCAGGCCCTCCGTTCTGCACCACTGACAAGGGGAAACCACGTCGGAAAACTATGTTGCCTACTCTCCAGAAAATAATATAATACATAATATATAGCATAAGCAACGTGTTTAATTTTCTTTTCTTTTTTAATTTCTACATCCCTCACATTTTCTAAAGAAGGCTATAACGACCTATTTTTGTCACAAATTCCATCAAATAAAAAATAAAATGATGGGCTATGCTAATTGGCTATTTCGTGTTTGGGGCCATAATTTAATATTTTTGACCGCTCGGAATTCGATGTATATCGTACCCGTTAACTTATAGGTTTTATTATAAAAACCAATTTTTATAAAAAATGATAAAAAAAATTAATTTATGAAATGGCTGATTAAGTTATATAAATACCTTTAATTTTCGTTAACATATAGCTCGCAAATTAATTAATATGAAATTAGAGAAACAAAGACAACATAAGTATTTTTTTAAAATATTTAAATACTAAATATATATATATATTTTTATAAAATATATTTATTTGACTTACGTTACGTCTCTGGTAGATCTAAATCTGAGGTGCGTTAATTTCAGGGCCGTCAACAGTGAACGAACACCTTTGCTGTTCATGCGCCTTTAGGAAATAATATACATATTACTGCGCGAAAAGAATTTGGTTTCGCCAAAATACACATAATCGTGAAAGTCACTGAAAACAGCCACAAATTAAATTCTTTTACTCATGTACAAGATTTAGAACAAATTTTCTATATCAACATTAGAAATCTATTTCAAAATCATTCAAAATTTGGTCAAATATTTACCGCACTACTTTCTCCCCGTTGTGTTGACAGTTTTTAGCAGCGGCCATATTGTTTCCAATTTCTACAAATGCATCAATTTTATCGAGGGTTTTGTGCAAAGATTTCAGGTAATTTCAAATATGGATGACCTACATCGATACATGAACGTATAAAGAATCATAATTCAGTCCAAATATGGGTATTTTCTGTTTAGATTATCTTGACTGAGCTGTCCAAACAGTATTTATATTGCACGGGTGATTGTCTTGATTCTTTCGCGTAGGTTACCGAAGCAATGGGCCATTGACATTTGAAAGCCATCGAAAATTATTTGCGACTAATATTACTAGGCGTGTAAAATAAAGATTATTTATGACTGCCTACCGCATATATTTTCATAATTCACTTGGGTAAATTTGGAGAATGCTAACTGTAAAATCAACTTATTTCTGTTGATTTGCAAACTAGACTTTTTGGGGGGAACTTCGATTAAAAGAAAGGGAGAACGGAAGCTCGAGAGCCAGCCTGCTTGACCTACATTTTGCCTTGACTGGGGTAATAATAATTTTTCGCAGCCGGTTTTCAGAAAAGAGCAGTGTCATAAGTACATTGATCTTAGAATACCAGAACTTTTAATTAATTTTAAAAGCAGTTTTAAAACAAATATGAAGCCTTTTAAAACCGTACACAGAGCCTTTCTTCTGATAAATTTCCAAGAAATTAAAAGTAGAACTAGAGAAGGAAGTGCAACGGTACTGAAAACGCTACAATATAAATAATTTATCAAATTATACAGATTTATCTTATCAGGTTTTCGCTAATTGCTTTAGACATATTTGTACCTCACACTAAAGCTAGTAGGCTAGTTATTAAAGTTAGTAGCCTACTGTAGTAGACTGGACAAAATGTTATATGATAAAATATTTGTCCACCACAAGACAAAGTCACCTATTTTTGTCTTTATTTAGATCAAAATCTGCTCATATTAAAATTTCAGAAAAATTACTTATTTCTTGGTGACGTGAGGCAACCCGGGTAATAAACAAGTTTCTGATCAAAGCTGATCATTTGAATTTGTGTCACACACCTCATTATTATTAGTGATTTTTAAAAATGTACTTCTTTCATGTGCAGTTATCTCCCTTGGATCAATTCTGCTTACATTTTTAATTTACAAATATGAATTATCTTTTCAGCATGTCAGGGTCGTACAGTTCCCGATTTACTCCGTCTACGGGAATGACATGTAAAGAACTGTCAGAAAATGATGACTTAGCAACAAGTTTAGTTCTGGACCCATATTTAGGGTTCCAAACCCACAAGATGAATCTGAGGTAAGAGTTGTCCCCCCTGTTCGTTGTCTTTTTATTTGTCAATGATAGAAAATATTTTTAAAACAGCCCACATGGCATAGCAATGCTTCCCTGGCATATCGCATACCATTAAAAATTGTGATGCCCATCTTTTGATGGACTCGTTTATCAAATTTCAACTATTAGTATCAGAATTGTAATGGGTTTTACATTACTGCAGCGTGGGTGTACACCATGTTGTGTGTCTCTAAGAGTTGGTGCTGTACGTGGCCGAATGGTTAGCCTAACGTGTGCACGTTGGATCAGAAATTCACACGAATCTCCGAATCTGATTCACGCAAGGATTCTCGCAAGAGCTTACCTTTAGATTCGCGTAAAGTTTTTCTTAATTTTTCTTATGAGAATCCTCTTAGATTCTCGCAAAAAATGACGAATTTCTAGCCCTGGAAGTTCTGTCATTGAGTCAAGTGGCATGGTTTTGACAGAGTAAGGACGTGACAGAGTAGGGTCGCCTGTCCAACCTCATGGGTTTTCTCCAAGTAATCTGGTTTCCGCAATGCTAAAGACACATACGTGCAAGCAAATTATCAAAATAAAATTGAACTGTTAGTCCCGAAATGACCTAGTTTGTGTCAAGCAGATGTTAAACCTCATTTCTCTCTCTCTCTCTCTTGCCTCTAGAGTCAAAGGTAAATTTTGTCTTGAAAGCTACACTATAACCATCTCTTATTTTGATTGCCAACTATCAATGGATCTTTAACATACATGGGGACTGCCAATGGTATATTCGGATCCACTGTTTTCTGTCCCATCCGAATGACTAGAGGCTAAACACTTCTCTATTGCGGTGGCTAGGTGGTTAAGACGCTGGCTCGCTAGCCTGGAGGTTGGGTGTTCGATCCCTGCAATGGCCGAGAAAGTTCATCCCGATTTTCCGACGCGGTTTCCCCTTGTCAGTGGTGCAGAACGGAGGGCCTGGCAAGGACAGCTGTTTAGTCCTTCGGATGAGACGGAAAACCGAGGTCCTGTGTATATATTGGAATGCACGTAAAAGATCCCCTGGCAGTTGGAATTCAATATAAGAGTAAGCGATAGTGCCGCTGCCCGGGCAAAATTTCCCTCATAGCACACTGTATGGTGTATGCCCGTCTTCATTAGCCCAGTATAGGAGCAGAACAGTAGGACGTTAAACCCCATTTCATTTCATTTCTTTTCTCTATTGCCATTTCCAACAGAAACAAGGCTTTTAATGTTTTAACCAATTTCAGTGGTTTTATGTATATCATTTTCTATGGCACAATATAGCCTGGATACACCATCGTGGCTAAGTGTGTAATATGCTGACTCACTATACTGGAGGTCGAGGGTTTGATCCTGTTGTTGGGTGGGGATCACGTTGGCTAAGTGGGTAAGGCGCTGGCTCGCTAGCCTGGAGGTCGGGTGTTCGATCCCTGCATTGGACGAGAAAGTTCATCCAGATTTTCCGGCGTGGTTTTCCCTTGTCAGTGATGCAGGACGGAGGGGCTGACAAGGAAAGTTGTCTAGTCGTTCGGATGGGACGAAAAACCGAGGTCCCGTGTACACATTGGCGTGCACGTAAAAGATCACTTGGCAGTTGGAATTCGATATAAGAGTAGGCCGTAGTGCGGCTGTCCGGGCAAAATTTCCCTCATAGCACACTGTATGGCGTATACCCGTCTTCATTAACCCAGTTATGAGCAAAATAGTAGGACGTTAAACCCCATTTCATTTCATTTTTTCTGTTGTTGGCTAAAAAAGTTCATGAAGATTTTCCGACATGGTTTCCCAATGTCAGTGGTGCAGGAGGAAGGACCTGAAAGAACAACTGTCTATTGTACACATTGCCATACACATAAGAGATCCCTTGGCAGTTAAAATTCGATATAAGGGTAGGCCTTAGCGCCATTGTCCAGACAAAATTTCCCTCATAATACACTGTATGGTGCATGCCCGTCTTTATTAGCCCAGTTCGGACATTAAGCCCCATTTAATTTAATTTATTTAACACTGTTTCATTCATTTTGCCAAATCTGCAATTGATCAATAATACTTTTTTATTTTGCAGACACCGTCCATTAAAAAGTAAGAAAGAACTGAAGGGTGTGGTAGAAGATTTTATAAAGCATCAGAATTACGAGAAAAGTTACAGAGCCTTGATTGGTGTCGAATGTTGTAAATCATCGTACATCATCAAATCAAAATTTCAGCAAAAAACATTTAAAGAACATGTAAGTTTGTAAATCCTTCAGGGAGCCACGGTGGCTAAGTGGGTAAGATGCTGGGTCACAACGCAAGATTGGTGGTGGCTGGTTACGATCCCAGTGTTGGCCAAGATGGTTCATCTGGATTTTCCGGTTTGGTTTCCCTTTGTCAGTGGTGCAGAAGGGAGGGCCTGACAATGACAGCTGTCTAGTCGTTCAGATGGGACGAAAAACTGAGGACCTGTGTACACATATTGGTGTGCACGTAAAAGATCCTGAGGCAGTTGGAATTGGCAAGGACAGCTGTCTAGTCCTTCGGATGAAACGAAAAACCGAGGTCCTGTGTATACATTGAGGCACCTAAAAGATCCCTTGGCTGTTGGAATTCGATATAAGAGTAGGCGATGGTGCCGCTGTCCAGGCAAAATTTCCCTCATAGCACACTGTATGGCATATACCCATCGTCATTAGCCCAGTTGGAGCAGAACAGTAGGACGTTAAACCCCATTTCATTTCATTTCTGTAAACCCTAAATTGCAAGTAATTCAGAAAGGACAGGTATTTCTTGACTTAGATACATACTTAGGTATGTTTTTTGCCAGTCTGAATTAAAATACAGCTATCGAAATTTTCATTTTCTTTTCTTATGTTTTCTATGGCCTCCAAATGTGTGGACCAACACAGGTGAACATTGACTGAAAGACATATTAATGTTTAAATTTATGGTATTTTTTCTTTTGCCACCCTGAAGAATTGTAGAATTCATTAGCCAATCACCACTCATATCGAGAAATCACATGATTGTATGAAGACATGGTCGCCGCCATGTGTAATCATGTGCCGCGAAATTTTGAACGGCACGCTAAGAAAATGTAAAAAAAACATGTGATCCCAATTGAATATTCACTTGTGTCTACTGATAAGTTCATAGCTGTGTTTTTCTTTATTTAGTTTGAGTCATTCTATGTGTCTATGACTATAGTCTCTGTGTACGGTTGTATTCCGTCTGACTTAAAATGTTTTTATTTTGCAAAATTCAGAAACTTTTCATATATATTTAGCCAGGTGTGTCAGTGTGCGTTGGCAAACAAAGGTTGAGAACCACTGAGATAATGTGTCTACCGCTTTAGTGTTTGTTATCTGTCTAGATATCAGTACATACCTCTCCTAAAATTCAGGTTAAAATATATACTATAGCACATTCTTATGGAAGAACAGTTACTGATTTATTTAGGCGACATTTCGAAGAGTATTCTCTCAACGTTTTCAAGCAAGTACAATAACAAATGTGTAGGGCAATTATATATAGACAAGCAATAACAACAAATCAGAAAGCATGCATACATAAATCAGTAAATGTTTTTCCATAAGTATGTGTCATAGTTTATTGCTCTATCCAGTTATTAAATCTAAAGGATTAAAATCGTTAAAATATATATTGTTTTATTTTAGGTTTATAGATATTTCCGTATGTTTGATGTCCATGCCGGTTTTAAATTAATGCAGTGCAACAGATACTCATCTGAAGGTCAGATCGGAGGAAAAATCTGTTCAACCAAAGCTTGGTAAGTTGCCAGCATTAGACAACTCTAATAGTTATACTTCCACAAGAGGTTTCACCCTCGTATAGTTTGACATGTTGCGAGTTTTGCGACATTTGGACGTTGCCTGATTACTTTACAATTCCCAAACTTATAGCTACAGTATGTTATCTACAGACACGTGAACAGTAGCGTCCAAAGAGAAGTTGTGACATAGCGACCTCCACGGAAACCTTGACATTAAACGAACCTTTAACTTTGCAACTCGATTATCACAGGTAGACATTTTAGTTTGAAAGCGTGACGATCGAGGAATGTGATAGGCTCACAAGCTGGGCTTTTACCCAATCGAAATTAGTGCCGAAATATGCAGGGTATTACGTGAAGGCCTTGATAAGATGTACGTATTTAAAGCAAGATCAAGAATTCTATTGAAGATGATATTTTGAGGGATTGAATGGCAGAGTGGAAGGGAAATGAAATGGGGTTTAATGTCCAACTTTTCTGCACAGATCGATCTAATAATGATGGCTAAAGACCCCTACGCGCAAGCGAATTATTGACATGAAATTAAACAATATGTTTGTCACGACATGACCTAGTTTGTGTTAAGTGGACGTTAAACCCCATTTCTCTCTCTATTTGAATAGGGGATCACATGGCTAAGTGGGTAAGACGCTGGCTCGCTAGCCTGGATGTCGGGTGTTTGATCCCTGCATTGGCCGAGAAAGTTCATCCAGATTTTCCGGCGTGGTTCCCCCTTGTCAGTGATGCTGGACGGAGGGCCTGGCAAGGACAGCTGTCTAGTCCTTCGGATAATACGAAAAACCGAGGTCCCGTGTATACATTGAGGCACCTAAAAGATCCCTTGGCTGTTGGAATTCGATATAAGAGTAGGCGATGGTGCCGCTGCCCAGGCTTAATTTCCCTCATAGCACACTGTATGGCGTATGCCCGTCTTCATTAGCCCAGCATAGGAGCAGAACAGTGGGACGTTAAACCCCATTTTATTTCTATTTGAATAAGTATATTCCACATTTTAGTCCCAAACTGATGGTTCCGATAGTTTATGGTATGTGGACATGAAACCATTTTTGGCCCTGTACCAATAACTGTTGTTAATCTGTTTTAAAGATACATTATGTAAGATTTAGATAAAGAGATGACCATTCTTGCTATAATTGCTCAAAAATAGACAATGTAAAATGAAAATATTTAAATTTTCAATCAAATTACTCTGTTCTGAGCCCAGTTATCACTGTTTGTAGTTTTGACAAGATGTGTGCATTGTGGTAATTAACCAGGGCACTGGTATATACAAGACTTAGCCTCACTTTCCTATCTTTAAATTAAAATTTTAAATGGCAAACTGTTCTAATCTGGTTAAAATCTCGATTATCAACATCGAGAGTTGATTATGGTATGGATACATGTATGTTAATTAATGTCTAATTAATATTAGATAACATTTCAGGCCTAAAAAAAGACCTACAAATAGGCAGATTTAGCTCTTGCATAATGTATGTTTAATATAAAATATCTTTTTCAATTGTTGAATAATTGTTGTTTTATTTTCAGGAAAAGGAATGATAAGATTCCTATGTTGGTAGGATGTATTGCAGAATTAACACCAGCAGAGGAAGCTTCATATCTTAAACCTGGGAAAAATGATTTTAGTGTGATGTTTTCCTGCCGTAAAAACTGTGCCCAGCTTTGGTTAGGTCCAGCAGCCTTTATAAATCATGATTGTAGACCTAATTGTAAGGTAATTAGCACATGTATACCTGAACATGTATAATGATAAATATCCCAAACCTGAACATGTATAATGATACATATCCCAAACCTGAACATGTATAATGATACATATCCCAAACCTGAACATGTATATTGTTAAGTAAAATTAAGTCAGATCAAAGGTTAAATACTGAATATAAAATGCCCCACAAGGGGAAACTACTGGAGTAGACTGGAACAACCAGACGCCAGAGACTGCCATTCAATTTTCTCTCTTCACGTATTTGGCCAAACAGGACTGATTAGAAATTACAGTAAAAACAGAAATGATTGAATGTAAATCAGTTCATATACATTCATATTGCATTAATGTATGCGTTGTGACCCATTTGTGTCCATTTCTATGTGTCAAAGAATAGCGATTTACATGTAGCTCCTTTAAACATACATTATGCAAGAGCTAAATCTGTCTATTGCAGTTCTTTCTTTAGGCCTGAAATGTTATCTAAATTATCAATTACACATTAATTAACTCATCCAAACCATAATCAACTCTTGATGTCATCTGATGTGTCGGATTTTCACTGGGTTGGAACGCTCATTGATGATTAAATCAAAAAAATGAATAATCGAGACTGTGTTTTTTATAGTACCAACTTTAGTAATTATGATCAAGGCTAGGTACCAACTTTAGTAATTATGATCAAGGCTAGGCGTATAATTCAATCGCTAAATTCTCGGTTCATAGTGGATCAATTTGACTGAAATTTTCAGCCAACTGCCTTTACATAATCTAGATTTTAACTATTATAGAGAGAATTGTCAGATCTTTATCTAATCTCCCAAAATGTATCTTTAAAGGGACAATAACATACTTGCCGGCTTGACAGCCCCAGAAAATAAAAAATAGCCTTATTCTAAGTACTAGATGTTTAAGTGTCTTACTTGTTGTGTAAATTATCCATTAAATCCTGTTTTACTTGTCCCGAGGGTTCCAAAATATTTTTAAATCCAAGTCACATTTGAAAAGGTTTACGTTAGGCTTTTCAAATCATTTAGTTGAATTTTTCCAATGTTTTAAATTAGGTGTGTTAAGATGAAATTTGTATCATCAATTAATTGGAATATTGTAAAATAGTACAAATTGTTGACTAGAATAAAGATTGGGACATATTATTCAGTTACAACAAGAGTGGTATTGAGCCTTTAAGTAATGTTTTTATTATATTTGTAGTTTGTATCAACTGGTCGAGACACGGCTTGTGTTAAAGCATTAAGAGATATTGATGAAGGAGAAGAAATAACTTGTCTTTATGGTGAAGATTTTTTTGGTGATAAAAATTCTTACTGTGAATGTGAAACATGTGAAAGGTAAAATATAATTTTATTTCTGCAAAATGAAAGTAAACAGTGTTTCTGACATGATCATGTAAATTGAAAATCCTGATGAACTTTCTCGACAAATGCATGGATCGTCGAACACGCAACCTCTAGGCTAGCGAGCCAGCGTCTTACCCACTTTTAACCATGGCTCCTGTTATAGAGTTACTGCGGTTAATTATTGAGCTGTTTATATGACGCAGCAGTGTCTTAGAAAAAGGATAACTTTATTTCTATGGTTGTACTGTACATTTATCATGGACATTCGTTAATTAATAAAAATTACTGATGAGAAAGGATAACTTTATTTCTATGGTTGTACTGTACATTTATCATGGACATTCGTTAATTAATAAAAATTACTGATGAGAAATTTGCATCTAAAAAATTTTGTTGGTCTTTTAAAAATACCTTTATTTCTCCCTAACTTTTTTCCATATGAAAGTTTTACTGTAAGCAGGCCTTACAGTACCTATAGCCCCATTCTGATTAAAACACAGATCCTATTTTGTTCCGTTTTTATTGTTCAAAAATTCGTTTTACTTGTCTTTACTACACTAGGATCTGGAAGAGTTGTTATATAATTTAACGTCTGGTTGATCTGAGGTTGATGGTCTGTTACGGCGTGTTCTTGGTGTGCGGTGCACAAAACTGTGGCTAGCCCACTTAACACATCAATGCTGATTGGTTAATCAAATGTCTGATGTCATAGGGTCAAAAGCCGCTGGTATGACCGTTGACTTGACCTCCCTCTACAACTGGCAAGATCTTCATGTAGTGGAGGCCATCGAAAGTATGAAAAAAACGAAATGAAATATAGATCTGTCAGCTCCACAAACGCAGTCAGTGTTGCGGGACGGAGGGCCTGACAAGGACAGCTGTCTAGTCGTTCAGATGGGACGGAAAAAAACAAGGGTACCCAAAATCTTAATCAGACCCGAATTTTGTCATGTATTTTGTGTCTTACATGACTTGTTTGTATTGTAGACGACAGGTGGGAGCATTTCAACCCCAGAATAAACTTCAGCTGATCACAGACCCAAGTGAAGATAGGGGATATAAATTACGTGATACCGATGATCGTCTTAACAGAATTAAAACTCAACCCGAATTAAAACAACCAAATATTAACGGCTTTATGTGTTCTGCTAATGGTAAGATGCATATATTGAAAATTTAATTCACGTTGCTTTATTCTGAGTGAAGATATTAGCCTTTGAAGGTTTGACAAGATATGTGCACTGATTGTAACCACCGTACTGGTTGTTAAAGCTTAGCCTCGCTTTACCCTGATTATGGTCTTGTCATGTTAATAAATGTCTAATTAATAGTTTAGATAACATTTCAGGCCTAAAGAAAGACTGGCAATAGGCAGATTTAGTTCTTGTATAATATATGTTTAAGCTGCTGATTATGAAAACATTAGTACAAAATGATTCAATTCCATCAACAATTTGTCAACAATCAGCATCCACTGCATTGGACATACATGTTTAAAACCTAAATCTCAGTTCAAAATATTGTTAACTAGCTGGATTGGTCAATCTCTCTCTCTCTCCGTTATTGACCCCTATTTATTGAATATCCTCACCTCTCAGGACACTTTCCAGCGTGGTTTCCCCATGTCAGTAATGCAGGACGAGGACCTGACAAGGACAGCTATCTAGTCGCTCGGATGGGATGAAAAACCGAGGTCCCTTTTACACATTGGCGTGCATGTAAAAGATCCCTTGGCAGTTGGAATTCGATATAAGGGTAGGCCGTAGAGCCGCTGCTCGGGCAAAATTTCCCTCATAGCACACTGTATGGCGTATGCCCGTCTTCATTAGCCCAGTTTAGGAGCAGAACAGTAGGACGTTAAACCCCATCTCATTTCATTTCATTTCTCAGGACACTTTATAAAAATACAGTTATTACAAAACTAATAATGAATATTTCTTGTCTTACAGAATCCTGGGACAGTCGAGCGAAATATTTGGAAACGGCAGCTCACCTATTAAAGGCAGCTGAATTAAAACGTAGAGGAATCACAAGATATGATGCAGAAATCATTCTAGCCCAGGGATTGGAATTACCTGATCCGAAAGTCGTTCTGGAACGAGAACTTCCTTATTCCATAGATGAAAAAACAAACACGTTTCATTTGGGTAAAGTCCCCAGGGATGATGGAAACTCTTTTTCATCTGGTTCAGAAGTACCTCCAGAAGAAATACCATCAACTGACGATCCTCCGTATATATCAAGAGAAGGTCTAGACAAAAAATCTTTATCATCAAGCCAACTCAGGAATCCACAAGTCTTTCATAAAGTGACCAATAAGCAGGGAAACAACGGTTATAAAAAAAGGGGCAGAAAAAAGAAAAATCGAGAACGAAAGGGTCAGATGAATGTCCTCGCAGCTTACAATAAAAACAAAATTGAGCGATGCTCGTATCTTGATCCGTTTCCAGCAACGCCTAAATTTTTAGCTAAATCAAAATTACGAAAAGAATCTCCAAAGCCAGTCCGTTATAGTCCTAGATTCCGGAAAGGAAGTTATTCAGATGTTGGTGGTCCTGAAGAACTACTACCAGTAGCCAAAAATTATAATTTATCCAAAGAATTTGACCAAGTGACTGAAAAATCATCCAAGTCATCCTCCCCGCCTCATTTGGAAACTGTTAGTGATATTCATACGAGTCCTTTAATTGATGCTAATCACAACTTCCAGGATATGCCCGTTCTTGAGGCTAACGTGACGCGAACTGACACCTCAAGCAGTCGTGAAAAGTTGCCGAAGTTAGACCTAGTGAAGCAGGTGGTGCCGAACGGCAAACATATGTTACATACGGAACGATACGAGTCCTACTGTGATCACACATCGCGAGCCAAAGTGCCAAAACTAACAATTAAAATCAGGAAAGATCCTATAATACAACAGGAAATAGCCAATCGAAGTTTCCGGTCTCAGAGTGTTCATTTTAAATTTTGTGACGACATCGATGACTCAAAGTCGCCGTACATATCTTCAGCCAAGCATTACATCACAAATAACAATAAGACTGAATTACCCAACAACAAAATCAAAAATGGCAAATCATCGTTTATTAAAACTGGCAAGTTTTACTCGATTGAACATTCAATGCCTAATTTATATCCCATAAACAAGTCACATCCGGGTCCAACTAAGCTACGAATTAAATACGGGAGTGATTCCATCAGTATACCTCTACCTCCTAAAATATTGTGATAAACTTTGTCTTGATATTGACGTGACTCACATGATTAACTTATTTCTAGAAAATTCCTCAGGATTTCCTCTTACTGACATGAGATGCGAGCAGTTTTAACCGGGGAAGGTTTATCAAGATTTTCTGGCATGGTTTCCCCCTCGCTGACCGGAGGTCTGGGGTTCAATCCGTTTTAGCCGAGAAACTTTATCATGATTTTCTGGCATGGTTTTCCCTCGCTGACAGAAGGTCCGGCGTTCAATCCGTTTTAGCCGAGAAAGTTGATCAAGATTTTCTGGCATGGTTTCCCCTCACTGACAGGAGGTCAGGGGTTCAATCTGTTTTAGCTGAAAAACTTGATCATGATTTTCAGTTGTTGTTATGCCTATGAATAATGATGACACAACATACTGGCATGGACGTAAAAGAACCCTGGACTGTTGTGGACTGACTAGGCACACCTACCTTCCTTGTCAGTGGAGCCGGACAGAAGGCCTTACAATGAACAGTGTCTAGTCGTATGGATGAGCCAAAAAATCAGGTCCTAAATACACATTGGCTTGTACGTAATAGAAGAAAGAACCATGGACTGTTGTGAATCGACTAGGCACACATAACTTGTCAGTGGTACAGGACAGAGGGCCTTACAATAATCAGTGTCTAGTCATTCGGATAAGACAAGAAATCAGGTCCTGTGTAGATATTGACATAAAGAACCCTTGACTGTTGTGGATCGACTAAGCACACTTACCTTGTTACCTCCACAGACACAATCACATACTAAACTTAGGCTGTCTGTCTACAGTTAGCTCCGTCTGAGAACAGACACTAAGCTATTTGACCGACATTTTAAGTCCTAAATCAGCAATTTTAGTCGAAAACAGTAAGCATACTTCGAGAATTTCGGAAAATATTGATTCTGCTTCCATTAAATGAAAATTGAAAAGGGTTTTTTTGGTCTTGGTGTGTTTGACAGATGTAAAACGGAATAAAACCGCATTACAAAATAGTATTCCAATTTTTTTATATGGCAGCCATTCAGGTCAGAGATATATTCTCGAAGTATGTAGTAATATCTGTGTGCAGAATGACATAATCACTGACAAATCTTGTCCCAGAGAGCATGACAATAACAGTATCTAGTCACTTAGATGGTAAGGAATCATTTATGTAAAAGAACTCGTCGACAGTTGGAATTCGAAATAAGGGGTAAGCTGTAGCGCCGCTGTTCAGGCAAAATTACCCTCACAGCACACTGTATGGCAAATGCCTGTCTTCATCAGCCCAGTCAGTGCAGAAAAGTAGGACGTTAAACCCTGTTTTATTTATTTCTAGTTAACTTCACCAGTGTATAACGTAATAAGGGATGATATAGGTGGCACTGTTTAATAATACACAGTTCTATAGAATACAGTTTACTATTTATAACTAAGCAACATTTCACTTACTGAGCAATGTTGCAATTACTGTTTATAACTAAGAAATGTTTGAAATACTGTTTATAACTAAGCAACGTTTGAAATACTGTTTAAAACTGAGCAACATTTCACTTACTATTTATAACTAAGCAATGTTTCAATTACTGGTTATAACTAAGCAACGTTTCAATTACTGAGCACTGTTGCAATTACTATTTATAACTAAGCAACTTTTCAATTACTGATCAACATTTCAATTACTGTTTATAACTAAGCATCGTTTCAATTACTTAGTAAGGTTGCAATTACTATATATAACTAAGCAACGTTTCAATTACTGGGTAAAGTTGCAAGTACTGTTTATAACTGAGCAAAATTTAATTACTGTTTATAACTAAGCAACGTCATTTATAACTGAGCAACGTTTCAATTACTGAGCACTGTTGCAATTACTATTTATAACTAAGCAACTTTTCAATTACTGATCAACATTTCAATTACTGTTTATAACTAAGCATTGTTTCAATTACTGAGTAAGGTTGCAATTACTATATATAACTAAGCAACGTTTCAATTACTGGGTAAAGTTGCAAGTACTGTTTCTAACTTAGCAAAATTTAATTACTGTTTCTAACTAAGCAACGTCATTTATAACTGAGCAACGTTTCAATTTCTGTTTATAACTGAGCAACGTTTCAATTACTGTTTATAACTAAGCAACGCTTGAAATACTGTTTATGACTGAGCAACGTTTCAATTACTAAGCAACATTTCAATTACTATTTATGACTAAGCAACGTTTCAATTACTGAGTAACATTACTGAGTAACGTTTCAATTACTGTTTACTACTAAGCAACGTTTCAATTACAATTTATAACTGAGCAACAATTAGACCAATCTTCTCTCTGGTCTTTATCAAGCAATCATTTAGTAAACTTTAACACATACTTATTGAAAATATCTACTTATTTCAATAAATAAATAAGTAGATATTTTCCATAAGTATGTGTTTATAGTTTATTTATCTACCCAGTTACTAAACGCTACTCAAAGAAAAAAAAACCATTTATTAATTAAACTGGAATACACACAGGTCACAATATCATGGAATACTGAGCAATGTTGTTTGATAAAAAGGGAGCCATGGTGGCTAAGTGAGTAAGACGCTGGCTCGATAATCTGGAGTTTTCGTGTTCGATCCCGGTTCCCCTTGTCAGTGATGCAGGACGGAGGGCCTGGTAAGGACAGCTGTCTAGTCATTTGGATGGGACAAAAAAAACAAACAGATCCTGTGTACACATAGGCATGATCGTCTTCAATAGTCAATATTCCAGTTGAAGCAGAACAGTAGAATGTTATACACCATTTCATTTCAAATTATTGTTGTATAAAGGATTAGTGAGGGTTAATCCAAACGCTGCTTATTTGGACCTGTGTATGTCCGGGCCCCGAATTCACAAAGCATTCTCAGACTTAAGTTAAGAATTTAGGCAACTTTCAATCACTGTTTATGAGAAATATCTTTGATCCAGAAACACAAAACTTTACACATAGTTTCTTTTTGATGTATTTGATACAGTAAAACAACAAAAGTTTTATAAAAGGCTATATTTTAGTTAAATTAAGGTGAACAATTTTGAGTAAATTTGAGTAACTTAGTCTGAGAATGCTTTGGGAACTCGGGGCCAGTTCAATTGACCTTTTAATGAAGTTATTACACTAAGCCTTAGTTTATCGAAATTAAATTGTGAAAGTCCAAGAAAGATAAGTTAATAAAAAAAATCTAGGGTATGACAGCAGTGTGTTTTATTATTTAGGGTATTTTAGGGTAAATATATTTGTTTACAATTAGAGAAACTGAGATTGAAGTCGTAAGGGGAATGGGGATTTGGAGGGCATACAATTAAAGATTTTTTTTTTCAAGTGAAGTTTCTGTATGTACACGTACATGTATAGTTTAAAGGAAGAATACTTGAAAAAAATGAAATTATATTTGATTAATTTATTATTGAACATTTCTTGTTAAAATGTTAAAGTTTTATTTTTGTAAGAATTTTGAGATGTGGAGTAAAAATTATTCTTGTATCGTCATCATAATTTCTATGTCCAGTCATGTATTTATACATATATACTACAAGTATTCACAGCGAAAACCTGGCCCCAAGTTCATAAAACATGGGGGGTTGGATGGCTGAATGGTTAGCGTGTGCGCGCTGTATCATAAAGTCTGTCATTGAGTCGACTGCCGTGGTTTCGAATCCCCGGTTGTACGTGACAAGGAGTAGGGTCGCCTGTCCAACCTCGTGGGTTTTCTCCGGGTCCCCCGGTTTCCTCCCACTGCTAAAGACCCCTATGCGCAAGCGAATTATTGAAATAAAATTAAAAAAACATATGTTAGTCCCGAAATGACCTAGTTTGTGTCGAGTGGACGTTAAACCCCATTTCTCTCTCTCTCTCATAAAACATTCTCGGACTTAAACATACATTATGGGAGATTCAGATAACGAGCTAGTCATTCTTGCTACAATAGTTCGAAAATGACTTTATTTCGAGCGAAGATATTAGCCTTTGAAGGTTTGACAAGGCGTGTGCAATAATTTCGACCACCGTACCGTTTGTTCGAAGCTAAGACTCGCTCCTCCATTTTTAAATTAAATCAAAATATGGCTGAACTGTTCTAATCTATTTAATATCAGAGAAATCTGATGCCATCGAGAGTTGATTGTGGCCTGGATCAGTTAATTAATGTCTAATTAATAATTTAGAAAACATTTCAGACCTAAAGAAAGACCTGCAATAGGCAGATTTAGCTCTTGCATAATGTATTTTTAAGTTAAAGAATTTACTCAAAATGGTTCGCTTTATGTTAACTAAAATATAGCCGTTATTAAAACATCTGTTGTTTTAATGTATCAAATACATCAATAAGAAACAATGTGCTAAGTTTTGTGTTTCTAGATCAAAGATATTTCTCATAAACAGTGATTGAAAGTTGAGTTAATTCTTGACTCTAAGTCTCGGGATACTTTGTGAACTCGGGGCCATACATCTGTGTCGACTGTGGCTATCATTTTAGAATTGGCTTAATTTTAGGCGTACTTAGTTTTTCAAAGAATTTTTCAAAGATAACTGTTTTATTTTTTCAATTTTATGAGAGGACCAGTTTCATTACTATCATGCACTAGTAAGTTTTTGAGAAGTTGATTCCTAATTAATTTAAGTTTGAATTTATATTTTCTGTTTGTCCTCCCGTAAATAATTTCTTAAAGCTATATCCCTTCAAGCATGATCAGGTCATCTATTCGACCCACTGAACTTATTTTGTTTGGAAGAAAAATATTTTTAATGTCCAGGACAAATTGCCTTATTAAACCCATCAGTACACTTTCACGAGGGGGTGGGGGTGAATAAAACCAGAATAATATACCGAAGTTAGTTTTTACAGACCGTAGCGGGGTTGGGTGGTTGAAGGTCTGTCATTGAGTCAAGTGGAGTGGTTTCGATTCCCTGCTTGTACGTGACAAGAATGTCAAACCTTGTGGGTTTTCCGGCGTGGTTCCCCCTTGTCAGTGATGCAGGACGGAGGGCCTGACAAGGACAGCTGTCTAGTCCTTCGGATGAGACGAGATACCGAGGTCCCGTGTATATATTGGAATGCATGTAAAAGATCCCCTGGGAGTTGGAATTCGATATAAGAGTAGGCGATAGTGCCGCTGCCCGGGCAAAATTTCCCTCATAGCACACTGTATGGCGTATGCCCGTCTTCATTAGCCCAGGTTAGGAGCAGAACAGTAGGACGTTAAACCCCATTTCATTTCATTTCATTTTGTGGGTTTTCTCCAGGTTTTCCGGTTTCCTCCCACAGCTATAGACCCCAACGCACAAGTGAATTATTGAAATACAATTGAACCTATGTTAGTCGCGAAATGACCTAGTTTGTGTCCTGTGAAAGTTAACCCTCTCTCTGTCTCTCTTTAATGGGAGTTTTTTTTTCTAATCTATAAATATAGGTTAGGATCTCGACTGAGGGGGAAATAGATTTTTAAGTATCTTTTCAAAGAAGGTAAATTATTGAATTTAAACTTATTCTCGATCATTAATATCAAATTAAAGTCTCTGAACATCATTTGATACTTTCCGGTTAATTCAAACGACGCATGGAGGCTTTAAGTACTGGTAAACATTTCATTTATCTGTAGGATATTTTGTTTTGTAGCTTAATGAATTGCAATCTGATTAAAACACAGATCCTATTTCGTTTCGTTTTTTATAGTTCAAAATTTCGTTTTAGGATCTGGAAGAGTTGTTATATAACAGGCTTTCTAGTTGATGTAAGGAATAAGCTAATGAAACGGTCTGTTACGGCGAGTTCTTGGCGTGCTCTGCGCGGAACTGTGGGTAAACCCCAAGAAATGTCAACGCTGATTGATTAATCAATGTCTGACGCCATGGGGTCAAAAGCCGCTCGTATGACCCCTTACGCGACCTCCCAGTATAACTAGTCAGATCTGCATGTACTGTAGGCCATCGAAAGTATAAAAAACGAAACAAAACATAGATCTGTATTTTGCTCAGATTGAATGAATTGAAAGTAGCATGACTTGAAAATGATATTTTCCTTCTATAGTTCTGTTATTATGTTGAATGTTAAAATGACATGAATTTATTGTTAAAAATTTAAATTAATAACTTTACTGTTTAAACTATAAACATGGTTTTTCGTGTACACGACAAAAACACGCTGGTATTGTTTGTTCTGTGTTTAATATAATATGGTATGGAATTTTTTGAAAGATTCATCCGAAACTTGTCAAATAAAAAGTTTATTCTTTGAGTCTTGCAGGGGTATACCAGCAAGTAGTTGGTTCCGGGTTTCATCAAATCTCCGCATACCATAGTAACTGATAGTTCCTTTATGAACGGTCTCTGATCGGACGCTGTCCTTTCAGCGTTCCTGGCCGTCCATATTTTAATAAGCTTAAAAGCTGGAACATGAAAATATCCCTCTTCACTATGGTGCGTAGAGATTTGATGATGTCTGGGACGTCCTAAAGGAACTTTGCACACCATTGAGTTATCCCTAACTCGTCCACAATGTCCTATTATACATACTGTATCTACCGCACACAGGTATTGGCATTAACACTGTCCGCGCGTGCCAAGCTCCGATATAACCAGTCTCGGTTACCCAGAACCTCCTAGTCTTCAACATACGGAGGTTCGTAGAATATTTTTCTGGATGATAGAGACTACGATATAACTAGTCAAATCGGACATGCTTGGGTTTGTTCTGGGTCAGATTGACAACCGTTCCCAAAATACGATGGTTTGTAAGCTGCCTGTTTGGGGGGGAGGGTGGGGTCAATTGGTTAACGTTTGCATGTTGGATCATAAAGCCTGACGCCTGTCATTGACAACCCATCCCCAAATACGAAGGCTTGTAAGCTGCCGGGTGGGGTGCCTGTCATTGACAACCCTTCCCCAAATACGAAGGCTTGTAAGTTGTTGTGTGTGTGTGTGTGTGTGTGTGTGTGGGGGGGGGGGGGGTCAGATGTTTAACGTTTGCGTGTTGGCCCATAAAGTCTGTCATTGAGTCAAGTAGCGTGGTTTAGATTCCTCGGTTGTACGTGTCACGGAGTTGGGTCGCCTGCCTAACCTCCTGGGTTTCCTACAAATGCTACAACCCCCTACGCGCATGCGTTATATTGAATTAAATTGAATCGTATGTTAGTCCCAAATATACCTAGTTTGTGTCGAGTGGTTTTACCTGCCCCCCCCCCCCCTTCTCTCTCTCTCCTTCTCTCTTGGCAATATCTTTTTTCGAATCAATGAATACTTCAGGTTTATACATGGTCCAGAATTCTTGCAGTTTAGTCACCTGAAAAAGTAGGCTTCTGAACTCACTTGAGTTTAGTTGTTAATTTCACTTCTAGCCTGGTAACTAAGCAACCGCATGGTATTGTATACTATTATATAAATAAGGTTCCTGGTAATAAACCTATTGTACCTGAAATGTTTTCCTGTGAATAGAATAAAACCCCTGACAAGCTAGAACCTGACTCACAGACTTGTTCCGTTCGTTCTACGATGTATACCACGGTATCTCTTGGGTACGATTGAATCGGGAATCACGTGGCTAAGTGGGTAAGACGCTGGCTCGCTAGCCTGGAGGTCGGGTGTTCGATCCCTGCATTGGCTGAGAAAGTTCATCCTGATTTTCCGGCGTGGTTTCCCCTTGTCAGTGATGCAGGACGGAGGGCCTGACAAGGACAGCTGTCTAGTCGTTCGGATGGGACGAAAAACCGAGGTCCCGTGTACACATTGGCGTGCACGTAAAAGATCCCTTGGCAGTTGGAATTCGATATAAGAGTTGGCAGTAGCGCCGCTGCCCGGGCAAAATTTCCCTCATAGCACACTGTATGGCGTATGCCCGTCTTCATTAGCCCAGGTTAGGAGCAGAACAGTAGGACTTTAAACCCCCTTTCATTTCATTTCACGATTGAATCGGATTAAAACACAGGTCCTATTTCGTTTTTATGCTTCAAAATTTCGTTTTGCTTGTCTTTACTGGTGAAGGCCACCAAGAGCATAAAAAAAAAGAAACGAAATATAGATACGGCCTTTACTGATGTTCTCTACAATCACTGACAAGGATGACATCGATGCGACTTAATGAGCCACAAATATTAACTTTTTTCCACCGACATATTATGTATTAGAAATATAAATAAAGACGTTCGACGTATTGTAGATAAAAATTATTTCCTATTTTTTGTAAATGGGTATTAAAAAGTCACCATTCTGCCCCACAGGCACTTGAGGGGATTAAAATAAAACTTCTTAGTAAGATACTATAATATATTGTCAAGCAGTAGTAAGAAGTTTTATTTTAATCCCTTCAAGTGCCTGTGTTCTGCCCGAACCAGTAACGTCTTATGTAAACAATGCACAGGCCATTGGGCCAATGATTGACGCCCCGTGATGAGACGTCACATGTTGAAGGTAGTCATCTTTTACAGAGATATAAGAAGAAATGAAATGGGGTTTAACGTCCTACTGTTCTGCTCCGAATTAGGCTAATGAAGACGAACAAACACCATCCAGTGTGCTATGAGGGACATTTTGCCCGGACAGCGGCACTACGGCCTACTCATATCGAATTGCAACTGTTAAGGGATCTTTTACGTGCACGCCAATGTGTACACGTGACCTTGGTTTTTCGGCCCATCCTAACGACTATACAACTGTCCTTGTCAGGCCTTCCGTCCTGCATCACTGACAAGGGAGAACCACGTCGGGAAATCTGGATGAACTTTCTCGGCCAAGGCAGGGATCGAACACTCGACGTCCAGGCTAGCGAGCCAACGTCTTACCCACTTAGCGACTCGCGTAATCCTCTGTGAAACAGATTGTGATGTTCGCAGCATCAGCTCTTTAATAATATTCAATAAACGCATATGGCTGAAAGGGAGATAGATGGCCGAATGGTTAACACGTGCGCGCTGTATTAAAAGGTCTGTCAATGAGCCAGCTGGTGTGGTTTCGAATCCACGGTTGTATGTGACAAGGAGTAGGGTCGCCTGTCCAACCTCGTGGGTTTTCTCCGGTTTCCCTCCATTGTGCTAAAGACCCCTATTGAAATAAAATTAAACCATATGTTAGTCCCAAAATGACCTAGTTTGTGTCGAGTGGACGTTACCCCCCCCCCCCCTCACCCCCCCCTCCCTCTCTCTCTCTGTTAACAAAATCGAAACAGTTTAAGTTAGGACAGACCAACTCATCTTTAAAATGTAATTTTTAATGTTTATTCACTCACAGTCTAATTACATACGAACTATTAAAATACCCAGAAAATAGAATAAAGATATCTTTTAAATTAGAATAAAGCCATCTTATGTCTTCAGGAAGTTTTGTAAAATAAATCCTAAATGTATATTGTATTCTAACTGCATACACAGAAAATAGAATAAAGATATCTTTTAAATTAGAATAAAGCCATCTTATGTCTTAACAGAAGTTTGGTAAAGTAAATCCTAAATGTATATTGAATTCTTTCAAAAATAGTTATAAGACTAAAGTTGTATCAAAATAGATCGGTCGATCCTTGAATCCTTAACGGAATCATAAACGAAATACGATCTATGTTTTAATCAAATTGAATGAATTGCTAATCATTGTATATATATCCGTGTGCAGATTATTTTATATATTATATATATATATAAAAGATATAAATAAAAGTTTCCATGTCGAGGTCAGTCCTATTCCATCACTTTAACACATGGATACGGTGATCTGAAATGATACAGCATTAAAATTAGCGGCTTCAGGAAATAAATCAAATCCTTATACGGCATTTAGTAATTGAACATATAATATAAAAGCACAAATATATATGGAAAACAATCAGTGGTTTTATTTCACAATACGTTTCAACAAATTCCTCTTGTCATTCCCAAGTAGTAATGATAGTATATATAATAGTAAGAAATCAAATTATACTGTCATTACTTACTTGAGAACGACAAAAAGAACTTGTTTTTATATTCAGTCAATTATTATTTCTGGTAGGGGATGTCCGAAATGAAATGTAATGGGGTTTAACGTCCTACTGTTCTCCCCCGACTGGGCTAATGAAGACGGGCATATGCCATACAGTGTGCTATGAGAGAAATTTTGCCCGGGCAGCGGTACTAGTACTACGACCTACTCTTATGTCGAATTTTAACTGTCAAGGGATCTTTTATGTGCACGCCAATGTATACACGCCAATGTTTTTCGTCACATCCGAACGACTACACAGTTGTCATTGTCAGGCCTTCGGTTCTGTACCAATCTAATTAAAATATAGATCTATATTTCGTTTCGTTTTTTATACTTTCGATGGCCTACACCAAGTGTAGTAAAGACAAGAAAAATCGAAATTTTGAACTATCAAAACGAAACGAAATTGGATCTGTGTTTTAATCAGAGATTGGTTCTGCACCACTGACAAGGGGAAACCAGGTCGGATATTCCCGACGAACTTTCTCGGGCAATGCTGGGATCGAACACGCGACCTTCAGGCTAGCGAACCTGCTTCTTACCCACCGTGGCTCTCAGGGAATGTCGGATAATATCGATAAATATTTGGAGATCTCTCAACTTCGATTTAAATTCGTCTTTACATTAATGTTCACCATTACATCAAAACTAATCCGCTTTTTTCTGATCATGCACAGTTTCCCAACCATCTTGATAAATCGACGATTTTTATTATATTGTATCAAAACTATGGAACTATTTACTTGTGTTTCTCAAACTTCACAATGTTTGGAAACTTTCAAATCAAAACTAAAATCTCATCTGTCAGAGGTGCATAAACATATTTTCCCAGGGGGTGGGGTACGCCATTATAAAATCAGCTCACTCAAAATCAATTACTACCCCCAGTTAGGTCGACATGTAGTTAGTAAGTATAGAATTATGCAATTTTTAAACGACTTATTTGAATATTGATTTGTAGGCCTCATTTTGGTTTGACTGAATGTGTAAGAGACTCCCACAAGCCGGTCCCTTTAACAGGAAAAAACGGCCCACTAGGCAAACAAGTCGGCCCCGGACTAAGCTCGGTGGAGGTGGGGGGGGGGAGCTGAACAAACCTGCACCAGGGGTGTGTACTATTTAGATGCAATGCACACAATATAAAATATATAATCCTAATTATTATTATTACTACCGCGATATATTTTAAATGATAACTTACGTAATCAATCCATCCACGGAAATCGGAGAATCCCGTGCCATGTCCCAACTGGAAGGCACACTGTGATCTCATTATCTGACCTAAAACAGATGAAAATTTTATATATTTATTTTTCATTCTAACCGCATTCTGATTAAAATACAGATCTATATATATTTCGTTTCGATGGCCTCTACTACATGAAGATCTGGCCAGTTATAGTGGGAGACCGCTTCATTGGCTAATCCCTCGCATCAAACAGATCACGGGTTATATAACAACTCTTCTAGATACTGGACAACATTATACAAACACAAACGTTACCAAGCTCCAAGTAGAGAGGTTTTCAAATCTTCAGGGAATCAATTGTATATTATGCAACTGATGTATAAGACTGAATTACAACAGTGTTCAAGTAGGGTCGCATGTCCAACCTCGTGGGTTTTCTCCGGGTCCTCCGGTTTCCTCCCACTGCTAAAGATCCCTACGCGCATGTGAATTATGGAAATAAAATTGAACCATATGTTAGTCCCGAAATGACCTAGTTTGTGTCGTGTGGACGTTAAACCCCATTTCTCTCTCTCTCTCTCTTTCAACAGAGTTCACCTTGGCGTATCTATGACAATAACAGTATCCCGTGTTTTTGCAAGCGGTAAGCACAGTCTGTGCCACGACACCCGCCACTGCTATAACCACAAAGAAATATTTGTATACTTACCCTGAACTGCTGATGTGGCTTTGTTTGTACCAACTATACCATTAAACGTACCATGGTTAAACTGATAAACTACGTCTTTCCAGCTTGCCTATAATACAACAGACAGAACGAAATGGGATGGGATTTAATGGTCTAGTGTGTTGTTCCGACTGACCTAATATAGGCGAGCATACGCCACACAGTGTGCTATCAGGGACATCTTGCCCAGATAGCCTACTTATTTCGAATTTCAACTGCCAAGGGTTCTTTTACGTATACGTCAATAGGTACACGCGACCTCTGTTTGTCGTCCCGTCCGAACTACAATACGTTGTCCCTTGTCCCCTGCACCACTGACAAGAGGGGGACCACGCCTGACAATCCCGATTAACTTTCTCGGCCATCACGGGAATGGAACACGGTATTTCCAGGCTAGCGAGCTAACGTCATACTCGCTTATCCACAGCAGCAGACAAAATGAAGCATCTTCCTAATACGCAAGTTTGATACAACAACAGAAACAAAACAGGCCGACGAAATTACTAATTAATAGGATCGAAATAACTACATTTTGGTGTGTACTGTCTATATTTAAAACCATTAAATCATATGGTAGTCTGTGTCGATTGGACGTTAACCCCCCCCCCACCCTCTCTCTCTCTCTCTCTCTCTCTCTCTCTACTTATTGTGGGCCTAGTATATACTCATAGTCTATAATTTGTTTTTGTTCATAACTTACCACTGACTCACGACTCATTTTACTAAATGTTTTCGCTTGATTCTCAAGGCTGAATTGAGTTTCGTGACTCTTATTTGCAATCACTATTGGCGCATCCTCCCCACCCCCCCTCTCTCTCTCTCTCTCTCTCTCTCTCCCTCCCTACTTATTGTGGGCTTAGTATATACTCATAGTCTATAATTTGTTTTGTTCATAACTTACCACTGACTCACGACTCATTTTACTAAATGTTTTCGCTTGATTCTCAAGGCTGAATTGAGTTTCGTGACCCTTATTTGCAATCACTATTGGCGCATCCTCCCCACAATCACCATTGGTAACGACAGCCTCCGTAACGCTCACATCATCTGGGAATTGAGGTTTGTAAGAGACTTTGATGGTGAGCTTATTTCTGAAGTCTACGTTGGCCAATCGAAGTATCTTGATGTTGCTCTTACCATCGAAGTACGCATGACCATTCTTTATGACGGCACCATAGTTGTCGTACTCTCCTGGCTCGGCTGTGTTGAAATCAATGTCGACAATTGGCTTGCATGTGGCTGGAACTAGATCAAGTTTAAAATAAGAAGAAAGCCTTTAACCCCCCCACCCCAACAAAAAACCCTTAAAAAAAAACACATTTTAATTTCTACCTCAGTTAAACCAACAATTTTCCAATTAAAGGGGAATTAGGTAATATAAAAGTTAATAAAATAAAAACCGTAAAGAGAATATGCTGACCATTTCAGTCAAATTACTTCACTCTTAGCCGAGAAAACTGAATTTCAAAACCACTGTAGCCTTGATTGTCATTGTTACCGTTGTTACGATAACAAACAAAGTCTCGATTATCAATTTTTGCGTTTAACCATCAACGGATGTTGAACAGCAGATCGGATTCAAATCCAATGAAAATCGGACAGATAAGATGGCATCGAGAGTTGATTATGGTTTTTTCATGTTAATAATTAATAATTTATATAACATTTCAGGCCTATTGAAAGACCTGCAATAGGCAGATTTAGCTCTTGTATGTTAAATGTAGTCTACCACGTGACCAGATACAATATGAGTAGGTTTCACTGTCTATATGTAATCAAATTGACAAGATATTGTCTATACCACATGACAAAATATATATATCATGTGAAAAGATACAGTATATAGCACGTTACAAGACACAGTATATAGCACGTGACAAGATGCAGTATATAGCACGTGACAAGATACAGTCTATAGCAAGTGACAAGATACAGTCTATACCACGTGCCGTGATTAGTCCATACCATGTGGTTCTCGCTATTTCATGATCTAAGTATCGTTTAATGGTCGAGAGCGAAACATTAAGTAATATATTGTAACAACAAGAGGCCCGAGTGTTTTTACAATATATTACGTAATGTCTCGCTCTCGACCATTAAACGACTTAATATACAGACACTCCGCGCGTGCATTTACAGTGAAATACGTCACGTGAGTCCAATATTTCACTAGTATAAATAATGTACGATTGGCAAGTTGCCCGTACGATTATTTGAAATAATGACACGCCAACATCAAAGGGTGACGTCACATCTCTATTTTAATTGCACATATTCACCTGAACATGAGGTTTTAGAGGCAGTATCACATCGACACAATCCAGGGTTATACGTTGTTCCCGGTGGACATGGCATTTTATGTACTCGTTGGCCATCAACCCAATCATAGTGACATGGATCATTCACTCTCGCCTTGTAATTACATACATCTAAAAATATAACAATAATTTACCAACTTAAAAAATACAAAATATAATTGACATATGGCTTTGTAAATATGTTGCCACGGAAATTAATTTATTAAATTAAAACATTAACTCAAACAAAAAGTTATTACTAATGTAGTATCATGCAGCTGGACTTTAGTGGTTTTTCCCCCACTTTTATTCCATAAGACAGTTACAGGGGGATCCGGGCCTTAACGTTTCATTCCATAAGATGGTTCCAGTGGGATCCGGACATTAAAATTTTATTCCATAAGACGGTTCGAGTGGGATCCCGGCCATAACCTTTTATTCCATAAGACGGTTCGAGTGGGATCCGGACCTTAAAATTTTATTCCATAAGACGGTTCCAGTGGGACCATAGCCTTAATCTTTTATTCCATAAGACGGTTCCAGTGGGACCATAGCCTTAATCTTTTATTCCAAAAGACGGTTGGAATTCAAAACAAGAGTAGGCCGTAGTGCCGCTGTCTGGGCACAATTTGTTTCATACGCATGCCCTTCTTCTTTAACCCAGTATAGGAGCAGAACAGTTGGACGTTAAACACATTTCATTTCGTTTCATTTAAAGTCCAATGATAAGTCTATAAAACTACCCGTCTTCATTAGCCCAGTCGAAACAGACCAATAGGGCGTTAAACTGCAAGTTCAAAATATTACTGTTGACTCACAAGACGTTACATAATCAATCACCAAAATATATCAAAGATCTCATTCGTTCATATAAATCCACAAGAACTCTTAGATTCACTAATAAACAATTTCTGTGTCAACCATCAGTGAATCTTGAAATTACAAAATGATCTTTCTCGTTCTCTGTTCCTATTTTATGGAATTCATTGCCTTACAACATTAGAACCATTGACTCCCTCGATGCATTTAAATCTCAGCTAATGACGTTTACAGACGCGATTCCATAGTTCAATAGAGAAAACTTTAGTATTATTTCGCCCCATATCATTATTATTATTATATTATTATTATTATCATTATTTCCTTCCATAAAACTAGTAAACTTACGTTCAGTGATGCCGCCTGTTCCACTTGATACGCAGGTAAGGTCTATGACACAATTATTGTAGGAGGAGTAGGAGAATCCTGTAGGGCATCTCTTTACATGGGACACGCCATTAACACATTTATAATACTGGGCACAGTTTCCTGTCGTTTTATAAGATTTCACACCAAGTGTTTTACATCGATCTAAAATAACAGAGAAATCAGTCCTATAATATTAAAAACAGTATAGAACCATTCCGATAATATCAAAAACAATACAACCAGTCACGCCGATAATATTAAAAACAGAACAGCCAGACTGATGATATTAAAAACAAAACGAATAATATTAAAAAGAGAACAGCCATACCGATAATATTAGAATTAAAAACAGAACAGTCAGACTGACAATATTTAAAACAGAACAGCCAGGCCGATAATATTAAGAACTGAACAGCCAGACCGATACTATTAAAAAGAGAACCGCCAGGCCGAAAATTTTAAAAAAGAGAGCTGCCAGGCCGATAATTTTTAAAAATAGAGCTGCCAGGCCGATACTATTAAACCTCCATATCATGTTAAGGATTCTCTTAACTTGCATTTTACTTAGAATGCAGAATATAATTCCCAAACCAAACTCATAATTATTTTTTCTTCTGATTATTTTCGTCCATTTTAATGTTCGAAAGAATAGAGCTATACACCCTTTAAATATGAAAATCAAAGAATATAGCCACACGCCCTTTAAATATGGAAACCTAAGAATAGAACGACACACCCTATAAATACCCTTTAATTATGGAAATCAAAGAATAGAGCGAAACGCCCTTTAAATAAGGAATACCAAAGACTACGCCCTTTAAATATGGAAGATAAAGAATAGAGGTACATACCCTTTAAATATGAAAACTAAAGATTACGGAAATACGGATATCAAAGAATAAAGCGAAATAATAGAGCATAACACCCTTTAAATATGGAAACCAAAGAATAGAGCGAAACACCCTTTAAATACGGAAACCAAAAAATAGAGCGATACGCCCTTTAAATATGCAAGAAAAAGAATAGAGCGATACGCCCTTTAAATATGGAAATTAAAGAATAGAGCGAAATATCCTGAAAATACAACTCACCGTTAGCACATGCTACCTTTCCAGCATAATTACACGTCAGCTTGTCTTGGTCCCAGAAAGTTCCAAATGGACATTGTTTTACGTGGAACCTCAGCAAACGTTGATTATTCTTAAATTCACATTGGATGAATTTATCACATTCCTCGTGGGGGTTGTATCCAATACCGTTCCTCATCTTACAACCGTCACATGGTCCGGGGTTGTAGGGGGTGGTTGGAGCAGGAGTAGTTGTTGTTGTCGTCGTCGTTGTTGTCGTTGTTGTTGTTGTTGTAGCTTTAAAAATAATTGAAACAATTGTGTTTGAATAGTAGTGGGGTTGGGTGGCCTGACGGTCAACGCGTGCGCGTTGCATCACAAGGTCTGTCTTTGAGTCAAGTGGCGTGGTTTCGATTCCCCACTTCTACGTGACAAGGAGTATGGTCACCAACCTCGTGGATTCTCCCCCCCCCCCGTCCTCTTGTTTTCTCCCACCATAGAGGTGAATTATTGAAATACAATTGAACCATGTGGTAGTCCCGAAATGAACTAGTTTGTGCAGAATGGACGTTAACACCCCCCCCCTCTCTCTCTCTCTCTCCCTAACAAATTTGACGCCCATTTGTTTTAATCGGTTATGGAATTTAACACTAACGCCAAACCAGTTTAATATTTAGGGATATTGTTTTAGCCAATAAATAAACCACGTTGTTCGTCTGTGCCATGTTTAGTTAAAATTTTAAAAAGTTAATATTTGGAACTAAAATAGTGCTGGAAAGAGCAATTATGTACTTTTTGTTCCTAAATTAGCCCTTGTCCTGAATAAATTCGCGGCAGAATCTTTAACAGATGTTTTAAAAGCACAGGATCGGGACCAAATTAACAATAAACATCGTGAGCATTATTTCAGGACCGAATTAACAATAAGCATCGTGAGCACTATATCAGGACCAAATTAACAATAAGCATCATCGAATTAACAATAAGCATCACGAGCATTACATCAGGACCGAATTAACGATAAGCATCATGAGCATTATTTCATGGCTGAATTAAAAATAGGCATTGTGAACATTATTTCATGGCTGAATTAACAATAAGCATCGTGAGCATTATTCCAGGACCAAATTAACAATAAGTATCGTGGGCATTACATCAGGATCGAATTAACAATAAGCACCATGAACATTATCTCAGGACCAAATTAACAATAAGCATCATTATCATTATCTCAGGACCGAATTAACAATAAGTATCACGAGCATTATACCAGGACCAAATTAACAATAAGCATAATGAACATTATTTCAAATCCAACGTAAAAGCAGATTAAACTTACTTGGACACATTTTTAAGTTGGCAACTATTGCAGCAAGGTCATCGAAGTCTTCAATTTCAAAAGATTGTTCCGGCTTGGACGCGATTCCATCCAATTCTGTTGTGTCTATTTTTGTGCCGACACCAATAGCAAACATATTGATATTCAAGTCCTTGGCAAGTTCCGCTTGTCTTTGTGTTTCTTCCTGGTCTTTAGATGCTCCATCTAAAATACAAAAACAAAACAACCTAATCAAACAACAACAACAACAATTCATTGCTCAATATTTACAATACGAAGTATTTGCAAGGAAGCTATCACCCGTGATTTGAACAATTAAAGATACAATATGGGAGATTAGATAAAGAGCTGGTAGTTCTCACTATAATAGTTAAAAACTAGATAATGTAAAGACAATTTGCTGAAAATTTCAGTCAAATTGATGCACAACGAACCGAGAATTTGGCGATTGAAATTTCGGCCTAGCCTAGATGATTATTACTAAAGTCGGTACGATAAAAAACATAGATAGTCTCGATTATCTATTTTTATGATTAAATCATGAATGAAAGTTGAACTGCAAATCGGATCCTAATCCAGTAAATATCGCAAGCTAGCGATGACATCGAGAGTTGATTATGGTCTGGAGAAGTTAATTGATGTCTAATTAATAGTTCATAATAACATTCAGGCCTAAAGAAAGGCCTGCAATAATCAGATTTAGCTCTTGCATAATGTATGTTCAAGTAAATAGTTACATACTGTATGGTTCTGGAATAAGGTGTTTAACAAGCTATCGTGGCTTAATGGTAAATGGAAGAAAAGGTATAAAAGTATATATATTTATTTATATATATATATATATATATATATATATATATATATATATATATATATATATATATATATATATATATATATATATATAACAATCAATTTTCGGAGGACGTGGAATCGTCGAGAGATGATCTTCCACACTTTAGAAGTTTGGTTTCGAATCCCCGGTCGTACGTGACAAGGAGTAGGGTCGCCTGTCCAACCTCGTGGGTTTTCTCCGGGTCCTCCGGTTTCCTCCCACTGCTAAAGACCCTTACGCGCAAGCGAATTATTGTAATAAAATTAAACCATATGTTAGTCCCGAAATGACCTAGTTTGTGTCGAGTGGACGTTAAACCCCATTTCTCTCTCTCTCACACACTTTGGAAGTCCAATACAAACTTCAGTCAGACCATGAGCAACCATTAGAATGAAATTGTCTAGATTCTAGAAAGCCAGCCACCCCGGCTCAGAACCAAACGTTTGATAATACTTGGTATCCTTTTGGGCTTAACAAATTGATTTTTTGTTTTTGCTACACCAATTTGTTTTTGTTAAAGTCTACTTTACCTGTAATCACTATACCAATACGTGGCGTGTCTTCACGAGTTCGTAACAACTGCGCCATCTTTGCAATCCCCAGATCAGTTCTGGTGCCATCCTGTGGATGAACCAGATCACCGATTTTACTCTCCAGGTCTTCAACATCTCGAGACAGTGGGATAACATCGCCAATATCAGAACTATACACAACCACGCCGAATTGAAAATCGGTTGTGTCCTCTGCCAGCTTGGCAACAAAATGTTTCAACGAATTTCTCACTTTTTCGAAATCGTCTGGGTCGATACTATCTGAACCATCAACAACCGCCACAATGTCCAGCTTACACACAACATCTTCGGCTGTAATATAGTTATAGAATAATATCGGTTAAAGATGCATGATGTATGGTTCGGATAAAGCGACGGTGCTTCTTGTTATTATAGTTCAAAAGTAGATAATGAAAAATGAATATGTTGAAAATTTCATCCAAAGTTATGATAGTTTGAAGGTTTGACAAGTAGCCCCGATCGCCAAGTACCATTTTATCGTTAAGTAATTCACCCCCATCCCTCTTCACCCAATAGCACACTGCATGGCATGCATACACGTTATCATTAGTACAAGACGCTAAACCCTATCGTACGTTCGTTGCTTAACGTCCGCTTCCACCCAGGGTGATATCGCAGACAATTTTTTTTAAAACCCCATTTCATTTGATTTCTTTTATAGTCTTACCTGAAAGAGTTGTATGGTAGGATATCAAGGCCAACACGGTTAGTAAAATAAACTCCTTCATCTTGACTGAAAGTAAGCAAACAGGCTAGTGAAGTTTTATAAGGTTCTAATGATGACGTTATTAAGGATTGTTGAACCCTATTTTGTTGTGGCTCGGTGTTCAGTTCCATATTAATGCCCGGAAGACAATAGTGCATTGCTCTACGGTCTGTCGGACGGTTTTCTCAAATTGCCAACAGAATGAAAAAGTATTGGAAAAACGGCAATGAAAATTAAACATTTTAAGTACCAACACAACAAGGCAATTAATTCCGTGTTCTAATTAGCGATTAATAAAATATTATTCAATCGCTAAATGCTATTATAACTATATTTTACAATTACCAAACGCTGTTAGGCCAAATTGAATTTCTATTCTTTCGAACAACATAATTATTAAGTATTCCGACTCCGATTTCTTCACGAAAGTAAAATATTCTAAAAACAAAACGTACTTTCTTTTTCTTCTAGAATATTTTCAAATAGCTTTTAAATTTGAACATAGCATGACACACAATAAAGAACTAAAAACTAAACTGGTAAATATATAATCAGCAGATTAATCACAGTCCATTCATTCAGGGGTTGGGTGGGGTTGCCTCAGGTGGTCTTGGGGTGTCAAGCTTCGACCTCTAGTTGGTCGGCCATCTCTGGCTTACGGTCGTGATTTCAATCCCTGGTATGAGACTGTGGGCCTTCTCAACCTCGAGGGTTTACTCCGGGTACTCTGGTGTCCTCCCACAGGAAAGACATTGAGTGGTCTAGTAGAGTGACACAGTTCGACCTCTAGCTGGTCGGCCACCTCTCTGGCTTACGGTCGTGGTTTCAATGTGGTTTGTGCGCCTTCCCAACCTTGTGGATTTACTTCGGGTATTCCGGTTTCCCCCCACTGGAAAGACCCCTGCATGTTCGCTAAGACAATAAAATAAGGCATCTTGTCTGTGGGAACGTTAAACACTAATAGAAAAAAAACAACAATCCATTCAATGAGGCTAACAATAATTAAACATGAAACCAAATGGTCTCTGATTCGACCTCGGTCTCGACCGAAATAATTCTTTCGGGATTTGCCTGTTTATGTTAATAAATGTCTAAATAATAATGTATTAGCCTATAACAGTTCCAGCTAATACTACCTACATTAGCAAGATGTTGCTCTTACAGAATACACCTTTACAGATATATCAATGAAATACTATAAAATATTCTTACCTCTGTTGGTGTCCAGGTAATGATCCGATTCTAGATAAACTCAAGTTGCTTCAATCACTATTTATATATAATACTATCCTGTTATAAATCAACCGAGCTAAATAAAAAAATATATAAAATCACATAAAATATATGGTTCTCCAACAAATATGTTTGCCATGCATTCCGAAGTTTGTGTTTATTTTTTTAAATTCAAAAAGATTAGAGTCATATATTTTAATTAAATCGACAAGCCACGTTTTCCCGCTCTTTAATTTTATGTTTGATCAACGTTTGATAAAAAATAGATCCTGGTTTTGTGTATTTTTTAAAATTTTTTACAGGGACATAAAATTCAAAGTTAATAATTGTGTAATAAAAAAAACAAACAAATCGAACATTTTGTTTATGTCTTAGAACAGAAAATAAAGAGACAATCAATGAGAGAGAGAGAGAGAGAGAGAGAGAGAGAAAGAGAGAGAGAGTCTTCATTAGCCCAGTCGGAGCAGAACAGTAAAGAGAAAATAGAACACACGCCAGTTGACTCAATGACAGATCTAATGATACAACGCGCACACGCTAACCATTCGGCCATCCACCCCCCCCCCCCCAGAGAGAGAGAGAGAGAGAGAGAGAGACTTGTGTAACGGGAGAGAGAGTCTTCATTAGCCCAGTCGGAGCAGAACAGTAAAGAGAGAATCGAACCTATGCCAGTTGACTCAATGACAGACCTAATGATACAACGTGCATACACTAACCATTCGGCCATCCAACCCCCGAGGTGTGGAAGGGTATCGCTGCCAATATTAAATGCTCTGCTAAAATGTCTTTTCTATTGATTACATGTAAAAGTACAATGTACAAAGTCTTAACACCGGTAATGATAAAGTCAAATTACCTCTTAAGACCAAAGTTAAATGTAAAACGTCAAATGCAATGTGTCAAATGTCAAATGTTTTATTGCAAAATGCTGTTGTGGCGTTTCTACTTTTGACATTTCCCTCATCACATTTTACATTTGCGTTCTGCCGCATTTCATTTTCCTTCGCGCTTTCTACATAACATCTTACGCAGAGCACCAAGTTTGATATGCAAATATAGATTATCACGTGACTTAAAAAATACGGAAACGAGGCCGAGATCAATATGACACACTATAAGCCAGCACACTATAAGATATTTACATTGTCTGCGATATCATCTCGGTGAAAGCGGACGTTAAATAAAGCTATTTCACACACACAAGATATTTACCCCACGATATTGAGGCAATCAACATGGCAACCTATAAGAAATTCATAGGACGACCTTGCCTGCAATAAAATCATGTGATTGGTATAGTTAATCCGAGCCTTTGGCAAATAACATAAATTGACAGTATAGTCTATATTTAACAACTAGGTTACTGTCGGACAGCGACACATTTCTTTCGACAAAACATGGAAGACTTTTCTTTCTCTAAAGTACGTAATTATGAATGTGCCAGAAAATAACCGATAGATTCAAAGAGCCATAGAAACATACTTTCCAGTGATGTATAACACGATAACTGGAATTTCGTATTAAGACCCATATCTTTGACACTTTAAACCCTCGGCACCGACCCCACACCCTCTCTCTAAATTTTAGTACAGGCTAATTAACTGTAATCCATTTTTTTTAAAAAAGTATAATTATTGTACCCAACAAATAATGAATATACATGTAGGCTACTTAAAGAGAGGAAAGAGTATACATTAACGTGCTTTTCACTGATATGTAACATGATATCGTGAATATCGTATTATGACTCGTATTTTGACATTGCATACCCTTCCCCTATCCGTAATCATGGTGATATAGTTTAGTACCATCCAAATTTGATCGTTATTTCTTATAGTGTGCCAGGTTGATTTCCCTTTATCGTGTGCTGACTTAAAGTTGCCAGGTTGATCCCGGCCTCGTTTCCGTATATGTTAATAAGTCACGTGATATCCTACATTTGCATATCATCGTTAGTGTTCAGCGTAAGATGCTATGTAGAAAGCGTGAAGATCAAATGAAATGCGGCAGAACCCAAATGTAAAATGTAATGAGGGAAATGTAAAATGTAGACACGCCCCAAAAAAAAGCATTTTCCAATCAAACATTTGTCATTTGACACATTACATTTGACGTTTTACATTTAACTTTGGCCTTAGAGGTATTTTGACTTCATCATTGCCGGTTTTTGGACATTGTACTTATAACATATAATCAATGGAAAAGACATTTTAGCAGAGCATTAATATTGGCAGCGATACCCTTCCATACCGAGGGAGAGAGAGAGAGAGAGACAGAGAGAGAGAGACTTGTGTAACGTTGTGTAAGAAACGGTGGAGGGGGGGGGGGGTCATTAGTGTTTATTATGCCGAATAAAGTACCTACAAGAAAACCGCTCAACACCAAAGGAAATTTCAGACAGACGTTTTATATATTTACCTATACATAACATGCTCACGAAATACAAATACAGGTGCTCGGTGCAACACGTGACAATCTACGTCACCTGGGTATATATTTTAAGGAAATATGTAAGATTTATAAGCCAGACATATAGGAATAAAGCTCTGAATCTTTATTTGAGGGTATCGTGTTGATATATTGCAGTATTGTCACATTATAAGGACATCAAAAGATTCATTGTGTAACTTTATGAATTTAATATTGACTTAAAAATTCTGTCTGAGACCACCAGGAGACCTAAGTACTTAGTGATAAGGACGAGTCAAATAATCGATTTATGATTTTAACATTAGAAAAACCCATTAACCGTTTTATACGGGTACAAACAAATAAAGACACGTGGTAGAAATCAAGAGATTCGCGATATCTGAATGGCAGGAAGGAGTGGGGGGGGGGGGTGTATCGCGTTCGCTTTAGACATTGAGTCATCAGGTGGGCTTTAGTTGATAATAGTGACAAGGAGTAGAGAGAAAGAGAGAAATGAGGTTTTTAACGTCCACTCGACACAAACTAGGTTATTTCGGGACAGCCCCCATGCCACTTACTCATACCCGTCAGTCAATGGTCACCCGAGTCACGCCCATTACCTGAGACATACCCGTCCCCCAATGGTTTTACGTGGTTCATTTTTATTTCAACAATTCGCTTGCGCGTAAGGGTCATTAGCAAGGGGAGGAAAAACGGGGACACGGGAAGAATCACGATTTTGGACGTACAAGCGGTGGATCGAAACTACACCATGCGACTCAATGAGAGACCCTGTGCTTTCACGCGCACGCGTTAAACCACTAGACAACCTAACCCTAAAAACAACAAGGAATAGCGGTTTTCTCTGGGTCCCACAGTTTTCTCATACTGCTAGTCCCAAAATGTCATGTGTTGCGTTTTCGCCTTAATGCTCCCTGGTCCCTAGGCTCGTCTCCGCCTTAAAGCGCACAGATCAAAAGAATAACAGAACCAATGATAAAGTCGCCGAATGGATTAACGTGGGTTGGATAGCTGAATGGTTAGCGTGCGCGCGCTGTATCATAAAGTCTGTCATTGAGTCGACTGGCGTGGTTTCGAATCCCCGGTTGTACGTGGCAAGGAGTAGGATCGCCTGTCCAACCTTGTGGGTTTTCTCCGGGTCCTCCGGTCTCCTCCCACTGCTAAAGACCCCTACGCGCAAGCGAATTATCGAAATAAAATTAAACCATATGTTAGTCCCGAAATGACCTAGTTTAAGTCGAGTGGACGTTAAACCCCATCTCTCTCTCTCTCTCTCTCTCTCTCTCTCTCTCTCTCTGTCATTGAATCAACTCCCAGTGACAAGGAGAAGGCTCGACTGTCCAACCTCGTGGAGTTTCTCCGGTTCCCCCGCTTTAATCCTTCTGAAGGGTTACACCACAGGGCAATGTATAGTGGGTTTTATAAATTATTAGAAGTCAGTATGGGTGAACGTCGGATGGTCTTCGGGTGAACCTCTGGTGATCTTAGGCTGAAGAGTGAGTCTTGGATGAACCTCTGGAAACAGGTGATCGTCGAGTGAAGAGTGAGTCTTAGGCAAGTCTCAGGTAAAGGGTGATTAGTCTTGGGGGAGTTTCGAGAAACGGTTGATGTTCCGGTGACGAATGAGTCTTTAATGAACCGCGGGAAACAGGCGATCTTCGGGTTAAGATTGAGTCTTGAATGCACCGTCGAAAACGGCCGATCTGCGGGCAAAGAGTGAGTCTTGAATGAACCTCTAGATATTGCCGTCTTGGGGTGAAGAGTGATTCTTATATGAGTCTGGGGTACCGGTGATATTTCGGTAGAAGATTGAATCTCGATTCGAGCTTCGGGCGCCAGGTGAGCTTCGGCAGCCAGGTAATCTTCGGGGGACGAGTAAACCTTGTGTAAACAATTGAGTAACGGGTGACCTTTGGGTGTCGGGTATGAGTAAGTTTCATGGGTTGTCCCTTATTTTATTGACAACAAATTTTATGATTCTCACGAGTCACCGGTAAAACAATTAGTGTAGACATATTTCCGAATATTCATTATCATTAAGGTCTTGCTACCAATTTAATTATTCTGTGATATAATTTCTAATAATAGGTTAAGAATACTCTACTAAGCTACGAGATGTGCGGTGCAGCTTTTTACTTCCAAGTATACTCGCAAAATTTAGGCCTATTCATACTTTTAGCCTAAATAAACATCGGCAATCAAAAGTCATTAAAATTCATTAAAATAAAAGCACAGGATAGCCTAAAAACTGCCAATGAATCCGAGCTATCAAACGAGAATGGGACCCAATTTATATGGCTAATTCTCAAATAAAATGAAATGGAGTTTAACGTCCTACTGTTCTGCTCCGAACTTGGCTAATGAAGACGGCCCAAATGAATAAGACTACAAACCACCACTGCCCACTTAAAATAGACCTTATATATAATGCAAACATACCGATAACTGTTGGATTTCCCTTTAGCACCCTTTGACCGGGAAAAACTGGAAGACTTGTGTATGCATTCAAACACTAAACTCTAAAGACTGGATGGCCTGCGCTAATTATACGTCACTCTCTTTCTGTCTTGCATATAGAGACGTGACGTAGGAACACGCATGACGTCATTTAGATCATGTTATCCAGTCTAATTCAAACACCTATATTTTGGAAACGCGACTAGCCAACAGTTGCGCTTATATGTTACATGTAATGACTCAAGAAGCAAACATCCCCATTTTAGACTGCTACATAAGCACACGGAGAGAGAGAAATGGGGTTTAACGTCCAATCGACACAAACTCGGTCATTATTGCTTCTATGGGATTGTTATATCTTGGTGCGAATGCATTCACTCAGCCTTTCATATTAGAGTTACATTTGTTTTAGTTTAGTAAGCTAGAGAGAGAGAAATGGGGTTTAACGCCCACTCGACACAAACTAGGTCATTTCCGGACTAACACATGTCTCAATTGTATTAAATTAATTCTCTTGCGCGTAAGGATCTTTAGCAGTTGGAGGAAACCGGGGGACCCGGCGAAAACCCACGAGGATGGAAAGGCGACCCTACTCCTTGTCACGTACAACCGGGGAATCGAAACCCACCCTAGTTGACTCAATGACAGACCTTTTGATCAAACGCACACGCGTATGCGGTCCAACGGTAAGTCTTGTTTCCATGGGGTAGCTATATCTTGGTGCGAATGCATTCGCTCATCCTTTCATATTAGAGTTACGGTACATTTGTTTTAGTTTAGTAAGCTTACGCGAAATATTTTATTTATTTGAATAATATCCTCAAGTGACGAAAGAAATGCATATCTTTATCATAGTTTTGCATTCAGAAAACCAGATGAGAAGCCAACCAATATTCAGAAAATGGCTATTAGATACGGACGAAGCATATAGTCTTTCTTTTGTAAACACTGAACCACGGTGGCTAAGTGAGTAGGACAATGGCTCTCTAACTTTGAGGTTCAGTGTTCGATCCATGTGTTGACCGAGAAAGTTAATCGATATATTCCGGCGTGGTTCCGCCTTTTCAGTGGTGCAGTATGGAAGGCCTGGCATGGGACAACACATAACAACACATAATCGTTCGGATAGGATGGAAAACTGAGGTCCCGTGTATACATTGGCGTGCTCGTAAAAGAACCCTTGACAATTGAAATTCGATATAAATAGGCCGTAGCGCCGCTGTCCGGGCAAAATTTGCCCCATAGCACTAGCACACTGTATGACGTATGTCCGTCTTCATTAACCCAGTCGGACCAGAACAATAGGACGTTAAGCCCCATTTCATTTCATTTCACATTCCTTTCGTTTTCCCTTCTCATTTCCCTTCTCGTTCCATTCTCATTACTTTCTCTTTCCACATTCATTCCATTCCCATTCCTTTCTCTTTCCATTCTCTTTCCACATTCATTCCAGCCCCATTCCTTTCTCTTTCCATTCTCTTTCCACATTCATTCCTTTCTATTTCCATTCCCATTTCTTTCTCTTTCCATTCCCATTCCCTACCTTCGAATGTTTAGTAATGTTGAGTGTGACTCGACTGAGTAGTCGTGCGATTGACTGGGTGGTTGTGGTGATGGTGGTTGTGGTGATGAACGAATATTCTTTAGATCATAAGGTCTGTCATCGAATCAAGTGGTGTGGTTTCCATCCCAAGCTTTTACGTGACCAGGAGTGGAGTCGCCTGTCAGATCTCATGGGGTTTTCTCCGGGTAGCATGGTTTCTTTCCACAGCTAAAAACTCTTATTATTAAAAATAAATAAAAAAACATAGCAACATGTCATAATGATAATAATAATAATAACTAGACCTGATTTCACTGTAAAGCTTTAAGTGACGTCATGTCTCGTACCAATAAATATCCCAAAATATCAGAGCTTTGTTCAAGAAAGAACAGTTTTCGTGCCTGTCAGGAATCTCAAAGAAAGAAGAAAGTTATTCCTTTACACTGCAACTTGATGCTTATTTTCTCTCTAATTTAAATTATGTTATTTTTATTGACATTTAAATTATAGTGTTGCAATTTCCTTTTATTGTCATGACTACTAAAATCATGAGAATAGACACATTAATATTCAAAATAGTTGCATATTTAAATATAAGAAACCCAGTAATGACGGTTGCGTCAGGTCGCGGACCTCTTGCGACAGGTGTCAAGTTCGTTAACGCTATTTGTTGTGATATAAATAACATTGATCTAATAGTAACTAATGCTAATTTATTCAAATAAAATGGCATATTGTCTGTAAATATCGTTAACACATCTATTAAAGTCATTGTCTTGATTGACAGATTGTAATAGACCTTTCCCGCTAATAATATATTCCAGTGATCATTAATTTCGCATTACTTCACCAACATTGAAATTTTTAAAGGGCGATACTATTATTCTTCTGAACCTTAAATCAGGCGAAAAGAGAGACAGGGGCAGAGAAATGGGGTTTAATGTCCACACGACACAAACTAGGTCATTTCGGGACTAACATATGTTTCAATTTTATTTCAATAATTTACATAGGGGTCTTTAACAGTGGGAGGAAACCGGAGAACCCGGAGAAATCCCATGAGGTTGGACAGGCGATCCTACTCCTTGTCACGTACAACCGGGGAATCGAAAGCACGCCAGTTGATTCAATGACAGACCTTATGATACAACGCACACGCGCTAACCATTCGGCCACCCAACCCCACTAAAAAGGCGAAAATAAGTCTAAATGCCAGTTTAATGTAATTTGAATGTACATAAAGTGATTCACATTTAATATTTTTTAAAATTATGTTCGAAGAAATATGTAAACATTCCAAAATTGAACGACATTCGTTTGGTCCTGTGAAGTCCATTGTATTCGGATTATTATTATTTTCTGTGTTCATTACAAATGACGCTCGAAACCATAGAGTATACGACACAGTATACTGTTTTTAAAATGTTTCTAGTATTCTCAAAATTGAATATTAGGATTCCACATTTTCACGATAAGACAACAACAATATTGGATATAAATGGACCAATATTCAATTTTAATTCATGATTTAAGTTTGAATATTATGGAGACATTAACTGAGGGGCTTGGTTCCTTTAATGTAGATGGATTTCGCGTGGGGTATAGCTGATATTGCATATCAGTGATTGGTTACGGAACAGGTCTATCAATCATTTGTATTATTACAAAATGTTCTATTGTTCCATCTGGCGGCTTTTGAATTGAGTGTTCGTGTGATTAACATGTGGGAGCAGCACTGTAATGATTAACCTACAAATTTATGATAAGGTTTAAGGGCGTAGGTTGAGAGAGAGAGAGAGATAGATGGGGTTTAACGTCCACTCAACACAAACTAGGTCATTTCGGGACTAACACACGGTTCATTCATTTTTATTTCAATAATTCGCTTGCGCGTAGGGGTCTTTAGCAGTGGGAGGAAACCGGATGAATCGGAGAAAACCTACGAGGTTGGACAGGCGACCTTACTCCTTGTCACGTACAACCAGGGAATCGAAACCCCGCCAGTTGACTCAATGACAGACCGTATGATACAGCGCGCGTGCTACCCCCCCCCCCCCCCCCCTGGTTGAAATAGAGATCACTAGTAGTTGAAGTTAAGTAATGTACGCTCGTAATTTACTAAAATTACACAAAATTGTCAAACTGTCCATTTAAGAGAAATACACGAAACACTATTTGATGAGAAAATTCACAGAAACAGAATCGAACTTCTTCTTTCGAAAAGTCACAACACATCATGAAAATAGTTATAGACAGAGATGCTACTAATGTAATATTATTATTATTATTATTATTTGAAGTTGTATATCATCATTTTACAAACATTGGGAGCCACGGTGGCTAAGTGGGTAAGACGCGGGCTTGCTAGCCTGAAGGTCGCGTGTTCGATCCCTGCATTCGCCGAGAAAGTCTGGCAAAGGTCGAAAAACCGAGGTTCCGAGTACACATTAGCGTGCACGTAAGAGATCCCTTGGCAGTTGGAATTCAATATAAGAGTAGACCGCACTGCCACTGTCTAGACGGCGTATGCCCGTCTTCATTAGCCCAGTCAGAGCAGAACAGTAGGACGTTAAACCCCATATCATTTCATTACATTTTATTTCCATGTCTTTATTGTTATCATTGCTATATAATACTGTAGTACTATAAGACTTCTTTCTTGTTGTGTGTTTTTCTTCGTGGTCGTAACAGGACTACAGCATAAAATAGTTTTACAACTTTATTGCTAAGCTGTAATGGCTGTGCAGGTTCCTCGTTCTCAATGATATTAATAATGGCTGCTAGGAATTTCTGAATAAGCTCTGATCCAACTCGCTCTACCCCCTAATTTCTGCAGGTCTTAGATAACCTTGACGTTAATTTCCATCCCATATATGGAATAAACCTCTTTATTTCACACAACTAAGATGCGAAACATTACCTATTTTGGTCTACCAACCATACGTCAATTAACAGCCAGAATTTGATGGATATTTTGACAATGATTATGATTTAACCAAAATATTACTGTTTTTTTATATGTATAACTATATAGTTACGTTCATTAAGTATATGTGATTTGACTCTATAGACAAAGTGAAGCAACCATTTTGCAAAGAACCAAAATTGTCTCAAAGACCAAAGTGTTACAAAAGTTGTTTGTGTTATTCTTATGGATGATTTGAAATTGCAATGTGTAAGTATTTTCTTGTACCATTCCACAAATTTTTCTCAATCTTTAAACAGCATTAACAGACCCCTCACCACATTCCTCGCCGTAGCCCTTGTCCTGCGAAAATGATTCTTACAACCCAATGCATGACATATGCCCATCATCATTAGACAAGTTTGATTTCCATGACGTTGTAGTGGTTGGATATCGGTTTTATCCGGTTCAGTGTTTTGTCTAACACCATGACAGTAGTGACTGGTGACGGGGTATGCTAACCCTTTCAAAAACAACAAGTAGCGTGTTCGTTCGCCCCCCCTCCCCCCAGAGAGAGAGAGACACACACACACACACAGAGAGAGAGAGAGAGCACAGTACAGTACAGAACATAAGCACAAGTACATAAGCTTGCACACATGGGTATTTAGTAGAGGGACCTTCCAAGAGAAGACACACAGGGGTTGGCAGGTGACATTACTCATTCATTGACACGATGTACAAGCCTGGACCCTAAACCACATCACTTGGCTCCACGACAGACCTTATGATCTAAAGCTTCCAAATAGAGAAGCAAAGCTGTAACATCTTGTGCCCTTACTTACCCACAACTCTTACTTAGGATTTGAATTAAAATAAAGTCGGATACAATCCCATACCAACACAAACAAAACAAAATGAACAAAACAACAGAATAGTTCTATGTCATATTTATTATATAAATGTAAGAGGGTACAAAATAACATGTAAAAATGATTATTTAAAGCGGCATAAGATTAGATAAATAGCTAGCATTTCTCGCTATAATATTTTAAAAAATGATAATGAAAAGAGAATATGTTTAAAATTTTAGTCAAATTACTTCACTCTGAGCCAAGCTATAGGCGATACAATTATAGCATCGATTGTCATTACTAGTATTGTGACGATAATAATCAAAGTCTTGATTATCCAGTTTACGGTAACCACAAAACATATTTAAATCTACTAAATATCCCATCGAGAGTTGATTATGGTCTTGGTAAGTTAGTTAATGTCTGATTAATAATTTATACAAAAGGCCAGCAATAGTCGATGTGACTCTTACATAATGCATGTTTAATAAAAAAAAAGAACAAAAAACAACAAAAACAACAACAACAAAAAAAAAACAAGAAAAAAACCACTATTGTACGATTATAGAAAGATCTGCAATATGCAGACTTAACTCTAGCATAATGTATGTTCAATAAATAACTCAAACCATTCCATTTTTCATGATCAAAATCGTGACGAGGATACGATTAAAGGGAGATAACCAAAACAAAACAAAAATAAGCAATAAGACAACAAAATAATTCTATGTCATATTAATTATATGCATGTATATATGAAAAATAAAACAGCTTTTTTTGTTATCTTTATATTCTATACACCGGCTTGCAATATAAACATACTTTTTCTTCTTTTGGTTGTTTTTGTCTATTTTTCTCTAAATTCATTTATGTTTACTTTTTATCACAACATATATATCTACAGATAACCTCGTTGCTCTGTTATAGTGATGGGATTAGTTATTACACTGTAACTGTTCATTACAACTGTCATCCCTGTAATATGATGGGATTATTCACCATATAATTACAGAGAAGTGATATATTTTTTTTTTTTTTTTTTTTAAAAATGTTTAATTTTTTTATGTTTTTTTTTACAGGAGGACTGCTATCCTGGAAAAAAATGGGACAAAGTATCGATAACTCATTTCGCTGTTACTCAAGTAACTAAAATGTTTCGGTTGAAGATATGTACTTCTCTGCAATGTTCTATTCAACATTCCCCCACTTCCGTTTTGTTGAACCATTTATCCTGGCTTGAAGATGTTCTGATGCGTCATGGTTTATGGTCTTAAGGGCTTCAATTATTCTGGGCAAAGCATTTTGTCCACGATGACCAAGTATTTCCACAAGTTTTTCAGCACCATTTTCATCACTTGTATGCGTTCCTTCTTTCTCAATTTGTTGCTTGTCTTTATCATCTATAATATGGTGTTGATACATTGTGTCCTTTATGAGATCTAGATCCAGCGTGAATTGTTCCACCAAGTATTCGTGTTCATCCTTCCAAATTAAATAATGGCAAGGCTCCATTTTACCCCTATGTACCTTATCATACTGGATAAATCCACCTATAACGTGACCTGAAACAGACAGACAGGTGTAGCTATTAGTTTAAATCATTACACTCATATATTCCCCAGTTTCCTGTACCCTCGATGGAATGGGCGGTGATAAACTTGAAAATAATATACATGCCAAATTTATGAAATAAATTGGGGTTTAACGTCCAACTATTTTGCTTTGCCAATTTATCAACTGACAATAGTGAATTGTAGGATTAATAGAATCATTCCTTAAAAAGTTTATAGATTCAACTGATAATAGTGGATTGTAGGATTAATATAATTATTCCTTAAAAAGGTAGGACTGTTTATAGATTCCATGTGTTTTAAGTCTATATCTTAACATATACAGAATATATATCTATCGCTCATATTCAATCCATTCTGTAACACTAACAGGAGAAATCATGTATAAAGAAGGCTGAGCAATGGATTGATATAAAAACTACTTTTACTGTTTGTTTTTTCGATACGCATAAAGCAATTCGTTTTTCGATATACGGATATGAATATCCAGAAAGAGGACTCCAGGGATGGATATAGAGAATAGGTGAGAAACAGATTCCATTGAATCAGTTTGAAAAGTCATGACCGTACCATATAAGGTATACATTCTACTTTGTAAACTATCGACAATGTAAAGTACACTGTACACAATACATGGTGTAAAGAAGCTGATTTGAAACATTGAAAAATGTATTTTGAAACATGACACAGGAGCGGAAACAGAGGGGAGGGTTTGGGGGGTCGACCCCCCCCTCCCCCCCCTGCTCAGCTACATAAATTTTTTTGTAAATCAACACTTTTTATGAGAAAAGTTTATCGGCCGTGTGCTTTATCCTTTATCGTCAGATGTGGGACAGGATGGGCACTCAAAGCACGAGATAATGATATAGACATTATGTGATATCACATTAATGCTTTGCATCCATGAAATTGAATCACAATGTCATTGTATTAATTAATTCATAATAAAATTGACGTCAAACGAGGTGTTGAATTTCTCTGTTTAAAAAGCTCAATGTGTATGTATATACGCCAAATGACGATAAAGACCATGTGGGAGGGGGGGGGGGAGATACAATGTCTCAGGAACCTGGCAAACCCCCTCCTGCAAAAATTCCTGGATCCGCCCATGTGACAGGTTGCCAGACAACGAAACATACACACCCACAGCAGCTAAGTCGTCCGGGATTCGTCAAGGGTTGTGGAATATGTCTATCTTTTGTCGGTAATGACCAAACGTGTCTGTGATTGTGTGATTAGTTGTCACTGCTGCTTTCCTGGTCACTTTCAAACAAATGAGATAAAACGATAATCACGTTAAAACAAACCCTTCAACTTGCTCACACTGTCTAATTAAATTACCTGTATATGAACTGCCCATTCCCCATCTCCGTTTTGTTAAACCATTTATCCTGTCTTGTAGATATGTTGCTGCGTCATGGTTTATGGACTCAAGAGCCGCAATTATTCTTGGTAATACATTTTTTCCGCGATAGCCAAGTATTTCCACAAGTTTTATAGCACCATGTCTATCACTTTTACATACTCTTTCTTTCTCAATTTGTTGTTTGTCAGTTTCATCTATAATATGGTGATGAAACATTGTGTCCTGTATGAGATCTAAATCAGGCGTGAATTGTTCAAACAAGTATTTTGTCGCTCTGATCCAAATACGTAAATCTTCAATTCTCATTCTACCCCTCATTACCCAATCAATACGCCGACCAATGTCTCTTGTAAACTGACCTGAAAAAGAGAGAAAGGTATTACTAATGGTTTAAATCATTACAGTTTTCAATCCCTTAAAGTGATCGTCGCATATTGTCAAAGAAAGACAAAAGATAATTATTTCTATATCTATTGCAAATCACTATCACCGGTAGCGATAAACTTGAAAATAATATATTTGCGAATTTCCTAACGGATAATAGTGATTTGTAGGATTAATAAAATTGTTCGTTAAAAAGGTGGTAATGTTTATAGAATCCATGTGTTTTAATTCTTTATTTTACCATATAACGAACATATAACTATCGCTCATAAATAACTATAAACAACGTAGCTCGTTTTTCGTAATTCAGATGTGAATCTAAAACCAAATCCATACTTATGGAAAGGATATGTTGACATTATTACTTGCATTATTTAAAAGAATTATGAACCTTTTCCGGTGACCTTTAATTGTCGTTATTGCCGAATATCGAAATGCAAGCTACCCGTTGTTCGATAATCGGTGACTATCTTTACATTTCTGGTAACGTTATACTTCCATATTTCATTAGCCGGGCGGTGCAGAAAAGTAGAAAATTAAAACCCATTTAAATTATTTCATTTCTGTAATATATAACATGTCATACTATTTATATCATTTCTGTAATATGTAACATGTACTATGTACATGATTGACCAAGTAGCACTGCCAAAGTACAGCTAAACATTGTCAGCTTTTACACTATTTTCGTACAGGGAGAGCCATTTTGACGGGAAGTTCGATTGCCACAAAATTCAAACTAAATTGTATATAAATTTCACACAGTGCTCAATAAATAAAACAAGGGCCATAACTCTAAAAGCAATTGACGGAAATTGCTAAAATTTAATAGACTTCTTCGTTTTACTATTCAAATGATGCACAGATCGGAGAACGTTCACAGGGTTCAACAAAGTGATACAAATGTATCTAGAAGCAAACGAAGGAAATTGCTGAATTGCACTAGACTTCTTCGTTTCAAGGGTTCAACAAAGTCAAACAAGGGCCATAACTCTAGACGTAGTTAACCGAACTTGCTGAAATTCAATAGGTTCTTTCGTTTCGCTAATCTAAATAAAATATATGGCTTTCATACAGATTAATGGATAACAGAGCGTGCAAAGGGTCTACATAGTGAAATAAAGGCCAAAACTTCTAGACGTAATTAACGGAAATTGCTGAAATTCAATAGGCGCCTTCCCTTCACGAATTCAAATAATGCGTATCCATCGCATACAGATCGGATGATAATGTTTGTCGTTAGAGTGTTCACAAGGTGCAATAAATTCAAACAAGGGACATAACGAAATTAACGAAAATTACTGAAATTAAATAGGCTTCTTCGTCCTATTAATGTACACAAGGTGCAATAAATTCAAACAAGGGACACAACGAAAATTACTGAAATTAAATAGGCTTCTTCGTCCTATTAATGTACATAACATGTGTCAAATTTCAAAACAATCAGCTCATAAATGTAGTCTGTAGAGTGTTCACAAGAAAGTGTGAACGACGGACCGACAGACGACGGCAATATACGACAACATTTCCATGCGGGCGTGTAGGCTTCTTCGTTTCACTAATTTCAATAATGCATATAAATTCCATACAAATCGGATGATAACTTTTGTCGTTAGAGCGTTCACAGGGTTCAACAAAGTCAAACGAGCCATAACCCTAGCCGTAATTGACGGAAATTGCTGAAATTCAATAGGCTTCTTGATGTCACTCATCTAAATAATGCATATGAATTTCATACAGATCCCATTATAACTATTATTGTTAGAGCGTTCACAGGGTTCAACAAAGTGAAACAAGGGTCATAATGTGCAAGTAAATTATAATGGTGATAAAGTAGTGAATTGTTTGTATTTCATTCTTTGAATATTTCATTCGTTCATTCATTCATTTATTTAAACATTTCTATTATTTATGTTGCTATTAATCCTTCGTTATTAATTAAACGTTATTGTTTTATTTTACTGTAATTTCTTTTATATTTAAATCTTTCCTTACCTAATGACAGACGGTTGACAGCTGACACATAGTTTAATTACTACCTTATTGTTTTATTTTACTGTAATTTCTTTTATATTTTAATCTTTCCTCTTTAATTGTTATTAGTAACCTTGCTATATATTGTCAATTCCTAAGATACCATTTTATTATAAATACCGATTTGTACATTTACAAAGCATTCTAGGTTTCATCCCGTTTCCAGGACAGTTACTCTGTTTGCCGAACGGGCTGTTCTCCGTATACGATGTTAAATGTTATCCGGTAATAAATAGTCTCAAGCATAGTTCCGGTCTCTAGTTATCAATAAAAAGATGCATCATGTAAGATCCAAATCTGCCTATTGCAGATCTTTCTTTTGGTTTCAAATATTAGATAAATTATTATTTAGACATATTCACATGTCATGCCTATAATCACTCTCTCGGATGGGCGAGATTTCAATGGCTTTGAACAACCGCAAGAGGTTAACGGTTGTCAAGTACCGTTGCTAAGATGACAAATGATCTTTTTAAATGAATAAAATATTATCCTTAAATGAAATTTAGAAGTAGAGGTATAATATCCATAATAACACAACTTTATGGATTTACAACTTCTTGGTTTATTACATGCAACGTTTCAATACTCTTACAGGTATCTTTATCAAACAATGATCAATAATGAATAACAACCTACATTTATAGTACATTCATGAGTAAGACAATAAAAACATAAAATTAATTAATGGTTATAACAACAACATTTCCCTTTGAAACTGACTTCACGATCTCTCTTATTAACAGGTAAAACGGGGACTGAAGCCACCACCAAGGCTTAATAATCATACTATCAAAACATCAATAAATTATTAGTGTCTTTGAGTAAGACAATAAAAACATAACATTAATTAATGGTTATAACAACACCAGTTCCTTTTGAAACTGACTTCACGATCTCTCTTATTACCAGATACAACGGGGACTGAAGCGAAGTTTTTGTATTATGGTGATGTGGACTTAGTAAAGAGTCGTGCCAATATGTTGAGGGGAAAACCTTATGGAATAAACGAACAATTCCCCCCTATTGTTGAACAAGAAAGGAAGAAATTGTACCCTGTAATGAAGAATTTGCGAATAAGTGGTCAGAAAGTAAAATTGGTAAGAGATAAACTATTTGTTAATAATCAACTCTATGATATTACTAAACACAATGCTACACAGTTTGACCAAAGACCTTCAATCAGATATGATAAAGAACCGGTACGAAATCCTCCACAAGCCACATTTACTCATAATCCGATTAGACCATGGGAAACCAACAACAGAAACACAAGTACTGCTACTAGTAGTTCCGGTAGACCTTCAGCGAAACGCCACGCACACTTCAGTTCAAGTTCGGAAACATCTCCAATGCGGGCATGGGTAATCTCGGGGAGTGGACTCTCTATATTAGCTTGGAATGTAGGCAAAGGACTGAGAAAAAAGCTCATGGAACCAGCTTTCATCTACATTGTTTGTGAACATGACATTTTGTGTTTGTTTGAAGCCTGGATTAGTGAAGATGATGTGATAGAATTAACGGACTATACAGTGTACAAATATGTTAGAGACAAAGGGAGGGGTGGGGGAACTGTTATATTTATTAGAAATAAAATTATATCTGCATGTGAAATCCATATGAATATATTAGACTGCATTGTACTTATAAATGTATCATCCCCAAGTCCAGTAAACAACCCGCTTGCTATATTTGCATGTTATTTCCCCCCTTCCAACAGTGTTTTCTATGAGAGAAATGACATTAAATTGTTTTCTTGCCTAGAAGAAGAGATCAGTAAAGTTTCTAATTCACATACTATTATTACTGTTGGTGATCTTAATAGTCGTACATCTATTGAATATGATTTTGTGGCCTATGATAAACTAAATGAAACAGCGGATGAGCTATTATCTAATATAATTGTTTATAACCCTGATAATTATCATGTTTTGAAATTGAGAAACAACATGGATAAAACTATAAATAGTTTTGGTAGAGAATTATTAAATATGTGTAAGGCAACTGGTTTAAGAATAATAAACGGAAGATATTTGTCTGACAAGAACGGTTCTTATACATTTAATAGTGTTAAAGGATCAAGTTTAATCGATTATTCATTGATGCACTATGACCAATTTAATTTGATACAAAGTTTTGAATCTGGTCAGTTTAATGAGTTTTCAGACCACTCACCACTTTGTATCAAGCTGAACTTCAATCTGAATAGCTCGGACGTTAGTAGTATTAATCGTCATAGTGTTATACTCAAAACTAAAGTTGTTCAGAAATGGGATCATCATAGGTGTAGTGAACTAATAAATCAGTTGAGCATATATCAGCCTGTTTTAATTGATAGTTGTACGCTAAATGACCGGTCGAAAACTTCAATAGATAATAATGTTGACGAATTCTCCCGGACCCTTATGGAAATAATATCACCCTTCTGTATAAATAAAATAGAAAGTTCAACATATTATTTAAATAAAACTAGGTGTAATAAACTTAAAGTACGACCCTGGTTCAATGAAATTTGTACTTCCCATTATAAACTTTACAAAAATGCCTTGAGTAATTTTAATAAAAATAAATCTCTTGAAAATAGATTAATTTTATCGTACACAAAATGTTCATATAAAAAATTACAAATTAAACTTAAACGCAGATATATGGCACGAGAAGGCAATCGTATTAATTTTCTACGGAAAGACAACCCAGCCATGTTTTATAAACTTTTCAAGAAGAGTAAGAACTTGATGGACCCTTCGGTTACTATAGATAACTTCTATGAACATTTTAGTAACTTGGATTTAAATATAACACATAATATTGATCATGATGTAAACGAATTCTTATCTCAATTTGATAATCAGACACTTTCTGAAAACGAAGTAAAGGATGACCTTGATGTTGGCCTTAATGGGCCAATTACTTATCACTAGATTTATAAAGCCATCAAGAA